TTTAGGTGCTGTGCATATGAACAAGGCTCAAAATTGCAAATATATACTCATGTAGGAAAAAAAATTATAATTATATCAGGAAAAATATAAAGACAATGTGTTTTATAATTCAGCATGGAAGAAAATTTAATAACTTACGATAAATGAAAATAGAAAAAATGGAAATAGCATAAAAGAAAAGCTAATGATATTATTTTAATATGCTAAAAATGTCAAATTCAATCCCTAAAGATAACAAATGTGTATGTAAATGAATTTTCTTGTAACCATAATTTAGTTTTAAAAAATATACAATTTTTTTACCATCAGTGATATTCTTAAATACATGAAATTGTCGTGTATCATTGTAGCATATGCCTGAACTATGTTGATACATTTCAGTAATATTAAAGTATAGGAACACTAAATAAGTTATTATAACTATGTTTTTTACTTAGAAAATCATCATTTTTTACTTCATGCTATTATCTCTTAATAATCTAGTAATCATAAAATTTTTAGTGATTTTTTTAGCACATCACGATAAGAATGTATTAAATCAGATATTTATAGTAGCTATTTTCTAACAAATTGCAATATAACTGTATTGGTTCACATATGTATAGTAGTTCATACAAACAAAATGTTAAATTCTTCGTGTTCTAGAATACGAAATAAGGTTATCCTTTGCTTTTTTTATTTTTCAATTTTAAAAGAAAATCACATGTAAATTATGTATAAACGTTTAAAATTGTGTACTCTGTCAACTAAGTTCATGCTTTTCGGATTTTTTAATTATGTTTAAAAAATTATAAAAAATTACAAAACACATTATAAACTAAAAATATTAAATGTTATTTTTAGTTGTTGATAATTTTCAATCATTGCTAAAAAATCGAATACAAAATTTTATCCGTGATAGCTTTTGTTGTGTAATGTACACAAGTCAACCATTGTATAAAAATAGAATGTTATGTGTTATACCTTTTTTAAGGGTTAATATATTTGTATGGCCTCAACTTTGAACAAAACAAACATCATGACCAATATTTTCAATCTATAACATCCTGGCCCAAACTATACATCAAAATAACTAAATTGGCCAAACCTGACGTTTGACCATTAACTTGGACGGTCAAACGCGTTGACTAACGGTCAACGCGCCATGTCACTGCCAACTCAGCAAATTTCACTTTTTTTTTAATTTCCAGGTCAACGCGCCATGTCACTGCCAACTCAGCAAATTTCACTTTTTTTTTAATTTCCACCTATTATCATTTTCTTTTTTCTTTTTGAAAAAAATAGAAAAATGCTTTTAATTTTCGGTTCCGCCTCGGTTCCTCCGCCCGACCGTCGATGGAGATGACGGAAGGAGTTGGACGGAGCGATTCTGGGAGCCTCCATCGTCTCCATCAGCAGCCGGGCGGAGGAACCGAGGCGGAACAAAAAATTAAAAGCATTTTTCTATTTTTTTCAAAATGAAAAAAGGAAAATGATTATAGGTGTAAATTATAAAGAAAATTGAAATTTGCTGAGTTGGCAGTGATATGGCATGTTGACCGTTAGTCAACGCGTTTGACCGTCCAAGTTAACGGTCAAACGTCGGGTTTGGACAATTTAGTTATTTTGATGTATAGTTTGGGCCAGGATGTTATAGATCGAAAAGATTGGTCAGGATATTTATTTTGGTCAAAGTTCAAGCCATACAAATATATTAACCATTTTTTTATGGTTAACTAAAAATTGTATTTGAAGCCCTGGGAGGTGCAACTCGCAACCTCCCTCTCAAAGTGTCAATTCATTACAAGTTCAACATCTTTCTATAATAAGAAACAAAAAAGAAAAACTGCATCTCTATGCTCCCAAAACTCCAATAACTAGCTGCTGTAAAGTTATATTACTACAAGAATAGATTTGGAGCTCTTGCACTACTTTTGCTGAGATTTGACTAGGATCAGTAATCTTCTTAACACCATACGTGCGTGTACAACGTTCTCTCTATATGTAAGCACAACACATTGTCCAAAACATCCTGCCAACTTTAGCCTTTGAATAAGAACCTGTGCACCTCTGTATCACCCAACGCAGCTGAGATTTCCAATCCTGAAAGAAAGGCCACCTGCAAATTTTCTTGAGCATAGACTGGAAAACTACAGTGCTATAAGAACATTCATTGAATAGGTGATCCCTACTTTCAACTCCTCCAGGGCAGAGAACACAACTTTGATCACAGGGTAATCCCCAACTATTTAGCTAATCTTTTGTAACAACTCTGTCAAGCACAATCAACCATAATAGAAGACTATGCTTTGTGATATAGGGATTTCCCCATAGAATAGAATACCAATCAACAGGAGGTGAGGGGTTTCGGATTGAAGACCAGATCAGTTTGACAGAGTATTTTCCCAAGGCATTACCATCCCAAGCAAGAGTGGTACCTGTCCCTGTGATATGAGACTGAGGATGCACTCTGCACTTGAGAATCTTCTTCCACACCCAGGAACTTACTGAGCTAGCAGATAGTGTCCAAATGTCCCTTCCTTTGACTCTATATTTTGTATCCAGGCAACCCATAACGACCCTGCTTTAGCAAGCAAATTCCAAAGATGACGAATTATACAAGTCTTGTTCCATGTCTTAAAATCCCTTATCCCCAATCCCCCTTCTTGTTTTAACAAAGAAACTATTGACCATGCTACTGGTGCTTGTTTCCTTCCAGTTCCTAAACTCACCCCATAGGAATTTATTACAAACTTCTTCAATCATCTTTAGAACCTTCAGTGGCAGCAGAAAGACAGCCATCCATTATTGAAAAACACTAGTTATAACTGAAGATATTAACTGCAATCTTTAGAACCTTCAGTGGCAGCAGAAAGACAGCCATCCAGTATTTTCCACCAGGGCGTTGCAGTCCCGAGCTGATAACTTCCTAGACAACAATGGCACCCCTAGATACCTTACTGGTAGTTCCCCCAAGGGGAATCCTGTATAATCTGATATCCACTTTTGTTCTTCTTTAGTGATACCAGCACAAAACAGTTGACACTTGGACAAATTGCACTTCAGCCCAGACACATAATAAAACCTGTCTAGTAATCTCTTAATCCCAGCAAATGCTCAAATTGATCCATTAGAGAAGACCAGAAGGTCATCAACAAAACAAAGGTGAGTGATGTCCAGTCCTTTACATCTAGGATGTTATGGTATGAAATCACAGTACACATCTCCAACTAGCATACAAGAGAAAACTTCCATAGCTATTGTAAAAAGGTAAGGGGACAGAGGGTCACCTCGCCTCAATCCTTTTCCTGCTGGGAAATAGCCACAGAGCCCTCCATTGAAGGCAACACTCAGCATAGAGGTTGTGAAACAAGCTTCAATCAATTTAAGGAAACTAGGGGGTATATTCATAGCAGTCATAACTTTCAAAATGAAATTTCAATTAAAGAGTCAAAAGCTTTCATCAAATCAATCTTTAATACACATCTAGATGTAATACTGCTTTAAGATAATCCTTTACCAACTCTGTTGCCATTAGGATGTTGTCACCAATGAGTCTCCCTTTAACAAAAGCAGATCGACTATTCCCTATTAGTTTTGGCAAAACCAGGGAAAGCCTATTAGCTAGCAGTTTCGAGATTCCCTTGTAAACAACATTGCAACATGAAATTGGTCTGAAGTTTTGCATTCTGTCCACTACTGATAGTTTAGGAATGAGAGCAAGAATGGTATAATTTACCTGGCTAGGCATTATACCAGTTCTGAAAAATTCCATCAGTGTCTTCAACAACTTTTCCAACAATATACCAATCCAGTTTAAAAAACTCTGTAGTAAAGCCATCTGGCCCTGATGCTTTATCATTCCCCATAGCCATAAAAACTTTGTTGATCTCCTCTCTAGTGACAACGGAATTTCATACTTGTATCTCTTCCTCACCAAGTTTATGAGATAGCATATCAGTAAAAAAAGAAATGGGGGTATCTTGCACAAGGTGATCTGCTTTACCTAGTAAACCTTTATAGAAGTCTACAGCCGGTTGCCCCATATCCTTCACTTCTGTAATTACCTCTCCTTCATCATTGATCAACTTTTGAATAGTTTGTTTATGATTTCTGACCTTGACCATACTGAGGAAATATTTTGAGTTAGAATCCCCTTCAATAACTCTTCTAATTCTGGATTTCTGCCTGTAGAATTGCTCCTCGGCCAGCTGTAGGCTTTTGCAAACAATTTCCTGCTCTATAGCTTCATTAGAATGTTGCTCAGAAGGATCATCTAGCACAATCTGCTGTAATATCTCAAGTTTTGTTTCAGCCTCCCTTGTCCTAAGAGAAATCTCAGAATACTGTGTTATGTTTAACCCCTTCATTTTAACTTTAACTCTCTCAGCCTCTAATACAATTGAAAGTAAGGAACTCCCTCTACTTCAATTTTCCAATCATCCTTTAACAAACTTTGATACTGAGGGTGCTGCCTCCAGAATGAAATTTTTTTGAATGGCTTTGGCAATGAGGCAACCAAAGGATCAGTATGTACTAATAGGCCACATTGTTCAAAGACCCCAGGAGACAAGGTTTTGACCAAACTGTCCTTGAAAGTTTCCAGCCACTTATCATTGATTAGTGCACGATCAATCCTTTGAGAAATTGGATTGTTTGACTGCTTACATTGCATACATTGCAACTCTCTCAACTGTTTTGTTAGGACCATAGATGGTAGTAACCACACAGGATTCTGTACCAGACTGCACCCTCACTTGACTGAAATGATGTCCCATTCCAATCTTAGCTACTCGTAGTGTTGATTTCCAGAATAACCAGATTCTCCCATTATAGGAGTACTTATAGTTGTTCAAATGCCCCCAACTACCAAACTGTCTACTTACTATCTCCTCAGCATTAATCTTTAGCACTCTAGTTTCTAATATAGCAAACAAAACTACTCCCAACTTTGCAACTTGTTTACTCACATACCTATGCTTCTCAGAGGAATTAAATCCTCTGAGATTCCAACAGAGAAACTTCATTACTCCATTTTCTTGCGCCCCCCCCCCCTTTTCTTTGGAGAGGCAGGACCAACAAGATTATACCCCTTTAAATTCAGTGGCACTCGAGCTTGGACGGCTGATTCTGGAATTCGTACTCCACTACCTTATGCCGATTGATTGTCCTGAACTGCTTTGCCTTTTTTGCCAACTAACTGAAACCCATCTGCATCCACAGGAGGAGAGGATGCAGAGGCTGTAGTCACGATCACCTTTCCAACCACAATTGGTGGAGTGCCTATAAGACTAACTATCCCCTGAGCAACTGCTGGAGAGCTAGGTCCGCCAACCAGTAAACCCTCACTAGCAATACTTCCAGACACAGGTTGAGACAACACATCCTTAGCTGGAGCAGCCATCTCACAAGTAACCATAGTTTTACCACATTCTACCCCCTCACCAATCTGATGCCCAAATTCCTCACACTTCTCACATCTATTGGGAGCATGGAGATAGTGAACAAATAGTGTAATATCTTCCTCACCTTTCGGTCGAATCTGAAGCTTCATTGGGAAAGAAGATCCAGCCATCATTTCAATACAGATTTTAGCAGTACCCATTTGAGTACGCAGCCTGGTTGATTGATCCATCCAAGTGATGTACCTAACAGGCTAGCAACCCTGCTCAAACCCTCCATTGTCATGTATTCCAACGGGAGTTCGCGAATACGAACCTAGATAGGCAGTTTAGAACGATCCATCTTAAACGATCGTATTCCAGGAACCCATTTTCGCAGAAAGAGAGGAACATTCTCACAATGCCATGGCCCGTTTTCAAAAACCCAGGTACTCGTCTCCGCACTCTCAAATTGAAACAGAAACATGTTCGATCCGAATACTGATACAAAAACTCTACCATCTCTCCCCCAAAAACGTTGAGCCCAGCGACGAATCATTGTGATCGGCGAAGCTTCTGATAAAAATTGACCGACCAACGCATTCCGCCACCGAACCGCTCCCTCATCCCGTACAGCTCGAGGGATAACCAATTCTCCATCAACCAAAGCAGGTGCAACGTAGCGAAGTCGATTGCCTTCCCCCACTCCAAAAAGCTGAGCCCAGTTCGCCGGCTCCGGCGCGGCCATGCCGCCAAACGGGATCCACCAGCTAGGTCAGAAGGAGAGAGAAAGAAGAGAGAGTCCAGAGCGATTGTTTAGGTACCGGTTATATAATATTTTGTAGAATGTGTTACACATTTTTTATAACATGAGTATGAATTTTTTTGTGACTAATTGCATCAAAGAGATTTTATTCTATAGGTTAAACAACTGAAATGTTTACAGTTTGAGCTCCTAAGCTGAATGACTAAATCTTAGTTATGTTGATTGATAAATATGTTTAGTTGTGATTAATAGCATCAAATATACTTTATCCTACTAGTTAAACTCTTGAAATAATGATGTTTAAACTCATAGGTCACGAGTTCAAATCTTGATCATGATGATTAACAAAAATATTTATTTAGTTTTATTTTGATGTAATTAGTAACTTTAAAATGTTAAAATGATAAAAATGACATGGAAAATTGTGGAACTTTCTTTGTCCTACGTGGCAAAAACTTTCTCCACATTGACATTTAGTTTTATTTTAATGTAATTAGTAACTTTAAAATGTTAAAATGATAAAAATGACATGGAAAATTGTGGAACTTTCTTTGTCCTACGTGACAAAAACTTTCTCCACAATGACGATAATATAAGTTAAGAAGATAAGATAAGAATAAGATTATGAGAAGTTTAATTATTAATGTTTTAGGCTCATTGTTAACAATCTAATGTAATATAGGGTATGCCTACGGTGACTTGCAAGTCAACGTAACTTGGAGAAAATAGTCGACTTCTTCCATCAAGTGGTCGACCACTTTACAAGAAAATGGTCGACCTCTTCCACTAAGTGGTCTACCACTTGAGTCATCCAGTCTACCACTTCAGGAAATGGGTCGACCTAATGATACACTTACCTTCAAGCTCTTCCACCAAGTGGTCACCACTTCTAGAAATGGGTCGACCTGATGACAGACTTATCTCCAAGTGGTCGACCTTTCCACCAAGTGGTATACCACTTGAGTCAATCGATCTACCACTTCGGAAATGGGTTGACCTGATGACAATTACCTTAAGTGGTCGACCTCTTCCAACAAGTGGTATACCACTCGAGGCAGCCGATCTACCGCTTCTGGCAATGGGTCGACATGTGACACACTTACCATCAACTTACAACTGCTTGTTGGAGGAGGTAGACTGCTTCCGCCAAAACAACCTACCGATTTCTCAAAATAGTTTACATATCTCTTTCAGCAAATGATCTCCGCTTTCGGCGACCAGTCGACCAGATAACATTAGGGTTGGGCACGTGGGTGGTTAATCCGCAGGTTGAAATCGATCCACCCGCAAATAACCCGACCCGCAAGCGATGGGTGATTGATGTGGGTGGATTGCGTATTGATAAATCTCTCACCCGCACTTATGTGGGTGGTGGGTGGATTGCGGGTCACCCGAATAACCCACATTCTATTTTCACATGAAAAAAATGTTGTTTTGACTACTATTATTAGTTATTGTGTTGTGCAATATCCATTAGATATTGGATATTGCAATGTAAATTATTGTTAATATCCATTAAATATTGGGACAAAAACTTTAAATTATTAATGTTATCAAAATCACAAAATGCGTAAGTTTTCTCTACACAATTGGTTGATAGAGTAGTAAAAATTTTTATGCAAATACTACATGGATTCACTTGAGACAAAGTGAGAAGTGTTCATACTGATACAATCTTACTAATTTATTATGAACTTATTATAAATGTTAGTCAACTTTCTTAAAGGCTTGTTGGAAAATTGCTTTTGCGAGTTAACCCACGACCCAACCGCACTCATCCGCCACCCACCTAACCCGCATAAGAATGTGGGTGGATTGCGGGTCACAATTATTCCAACTCTCTAGTAAGTGGGTGGGTCAATTTGACACGAAAATCCACCCAACCCGCCCACTCCCCACCCCTAGATAGCACAATTACCTAATACTTACATTAGGAAAATAATGGACAATAGGAGACCGACAATATAAAATTATTTTTGTAGTAACGCAACATAAGAAATAAATATGCGTAACATTTTTCAAATCTACCGGAGAACATTCACTAGAAAAACTTGTCATCTATGCTTGCAGCCTTTGTACTAATTTTAAATATCTTACTAGAAAACATATATATTGTTATTGGACTCTAATTATATATGATGATATCACTAGGAATGGTTCATTAGGTGGATCAATTATTAAAAAAGGTGGACCACTTGGAGAAAGAGGTAAACCACTTGATGGAAGTGGTGGACCATTTTTTTGTATAGTGCCTTTTAGTGGAAGAGGTTGACTGTTTGTTGAACATAACAAATGAAAAATAGTACATCTGGTCGACCATTCCAACAATGAAGTCGACCATTTTGTCCAAATAGGTCCACCATATTAGTGAAAAGGTTGACCGTTTTGTCTAAATAGGTCGACCTCATCATTGAACAGGTCGGCCGTTTTGTCCAAATAGGTCGACCTCATTAGTGAATAGGTAGACCGTTTTGTCGAAGTTACATTGACTTGTAAGTCACCATAGCAAAGTCCTGTAATGTAATGTCATCAATATTGATGTAACTTAATTGTTATTAACGTTAATAATAATGAGAAGTTTAATTATTAATGTATTTCGGCTCATTGTTAATACTTTAATGTAATGCTATTGATATTTATACAATGTAGGGTTAATAGTATTTTTTACCCTCTACTATATAAATTAACAAACGTACTCATTTATTAATTTTTTCACAAATACACTTTTAATATTAAAACCTAACAAGTTTACCCTTCCATCCAATTATCTGTTAAGTGATCGTTAAATGAGATGTGAAATGACTCAATTGTCCCTCATTTACTCCTAAACACTTCTAATTTTTATTTTAATTATTTAATGTCCCAAAGCAATTAATTAAGAAAATCATTTGCTTGCAGAGAGGATATATTGCCAAGCCATGGAGGGACAACACAGTGAGATTGTTGTATTCGAGATTGAAATACCGGAGCTCCGAAGTACTGATGAGTGGATCCAGAATATTTCCAACGAGCCTGTTTTGCCCAAGATTGAGGGTAATGAGATTGGACCAGCCAAATATGTTTCGAGGGATTTCTCCTGTGAGGAAATTTGTGTGCATATTGAGAATCTGGAGGCGTGCCAAGCGGTAGATTTTGGGAGGGATTTCGTGGGATAAACTATTGTTTTGGAGCAGGAGTTCCCGGAGAGAAGTGAGATTGGCGTTGAATGGGGAAATTGTGCCCGGGAGGAGATGAGAGTTTAGGTCAAGCCCGATGCTTGAATGGATTGAAGATTTTTAGCAAAGGTTATGCAAAAATTTTCAAATTTCTAGCATAGCATCTTTCAAATTGAGCGTTAACGTTAAGTTATGCTACATTTCTAAAAACTTTGGTAGAAGTTTTGAGATTTCGAAATTGCAATTGGAGTAGAACATTGTTAGTATCAATTTTACTACTGAGTTTGGATTATATGTCATGTCATTTTACTTGTGCCAACTTCCTGATCCGCCTTTGCCTAATCTTATAACTTGGAGCTTTCAAAGTTTTCAAATTTTCCATATACGTACTTTATGCTACTTCTATATTTTGAACTAGAATACTTCCTATCTTTACATGAGCTTGAATGATAAATAAAGTATATGGGTTACAATCTTGTTAATACGTACTTGAGAAGTTATATGATTATCTTACAAAAGAAGCCACACTCTAAAAGTGTGGGGTTATCCCTTATGATCTATACTAACTTAGTTTCTTTTGAGTAGGAAAATGAATCGATTTCCCAAATGGATGGGCCGACACAAGAAGAAAGGAGATGATGACCATCTTCATCACGAGGACCATGAGGTCCTAGTCCACCCGAGGTGAGCGAGAGCATGTAGCACTCTACGGTCTACATGACTCAACAAGAGGGAACCAATATCGTGATAGAAAATGAAGAGAGTTCAAGGGAGTCATGTTCTCAATTCCGATTCGTTCAACGATCCACTAGTAACAGTAGTGGAGAGCTACGGCCGGATAGTGGGAGATTGAGGAGCAAGAGTGGGCAGCTTCCACGAGAGGCCAAGGTGTGGGAGACTGATAGCGAGCTGGATATACAAGAAGACATACTAGAGGCACCCATGCACCCTTTCCCCTAGTTCCCCACTGGCAGTTGTAGTGCCAAGAAAGTGCAGCAATGGACATACATACTGGTGGACCCCTAGGGAGAGCTGAACTGGCCATATATCAACCAGTACCAAGGCTGGGGAGCACCATTGAGCCAGAGACTCGACGATGCCAGTCTCTTGTCATTATTAAGCATAAAAGGAGAGAGCAATGGCGTTTTCACTCAAGAGTTGATGGCAACATTGACGGTAGGAGCAACAGGAAGCTCAAGCCAGAGGTACATCTTCTACAGATTGTTCAGGCGACACTTCACTGACCATCATTCAGTTGCCGGCTACTCCTCATTGGCCATCATTCAGTTGCCATTCATTAGGTCTGATAAGGGCCTAATTGTACATGTTTTAACCCCATTTTACTCAGGTGTTTGTGGCAAATTCTCTCCTAAAAGGTTGATTTTATGCTAGGTTTCTCGTGTTTTAGTGTGTTTCAGGGTTTAACAGGTGAAACCAGCCTCAGAGTCGAAAGTTGGACGAAAAGGATCGAAAACCGGGAGAAGAGGTGAAAAAGGGAAGTTCACGGCTGTCACAGGAAGTTCACGGTCTTGCACGACCGTGACCTTGACCGTGAACCTCGAGGCGTCTAGAGCCAAAGCAGAGGTTACTGACGCAAGGTGAGTTCACGGTCACTAAGACCGTGAACGGAGGCCGTGAACTCAGGCCGTGAACTGAGCTCGTCTCTGGTTTAAAAGATGAGCTGAAAGGAAGAGAGAGGGGAGAGCCCATTTTCTGTGAAAAGCCTTCTTCAGATTTCTAGGGAGAGAACCACTAACCAAGGGAGAAGAAGGCTAGGATTTTGCTTCAAGGTGGATTTTGGGAAGATTTCCTCCAAAGAAATTTCAACACAATGACCAAGAAGATTGGGAGCATCCTCCAAGATGGTTTCCACCTCTTCTCCTTTCGTTTTTCCCATTTCTAGCATGGAGTAGATCTCCTTTCACTTGGGTGTTGTGAAACCCTAACTCTACCATGTAGTTTCTGTTATGTGAATTGAATGATTGTCATTGGGTATTGGTTAATTCAATGATTGAGGTATTATTCATATTGATTGTGCATGCCTATGCTTAGCAACCTAAGGGTTGTGCATGTTTTGTGCTTAGCATCCTTAGGTTTGTGCATTTTGGTGTTTAGCAATCTAAGGATTGTGCATAATTATGCTTAGCACCCTTAGATTTGTGCATGTTGGTGCTAGCAATCTAATTAGCCACCTTGACCTAGCTTAGAGAGGATAATCCCCCTTCCAAGGGAGACTCAATCGAGTTGGTTTTCCTTCAGCTTTTAAGCCACCTAACTAGGTTAATTTAGGGCAACCCTCAATGTTGAATTAAGCATGTCGGTTAATCGTGATAAAGCCGCCCGACCTTTGAGTTGAGTAAGGGAGTAAGTCAACTACCGATTTCCTAAACCGATAGGGTCGAGTGACACGGCCTTTAATGTTTACCTCGGTTGAGCAATTGAGATTGTGGTCTCCGACCCTATATGCATCCCTCTGCGGTTCGCGGTTACCTTGCCCAAAGAAATCGTTCCAATTCACATATCATGGTAGTAGTTAGGGGGAAGCGACACCTAAGTGATCCTTCCACAAAAGAGTTTTCAAACCATTTACCTTTGCCTTATTTTATTACAATTAGCAAACTTTTAAACCAAAACTTTGTTGCTAGATAATGATTACAACGATTGAAGTAGGGGTAGACGGACCAGCCCGGGTTGATATCTAAATACTTGCTCTATACTGCACCCGGCTAGAGTTTAAAAACTTGGACTCTACTTGGGATTATATTGTGGTGTAGTTTCGTGCGAGTCAAGGTCTGTGCACTACTTTAGTCGAACCAACTTTAACATGAGGCATATGGAGATGTTGGAAAAGTAACCACCAGTGACATGATCTTGTATCGTGCTTTGGTATCATAATAACATAACTAGTGGTTCACCCATCATGGTTGGTGGTCGACAACATTTTGAGATACACATCCGTCGCTTCTCCATGAGGATTACCAGGAGGAGGCTATGTTTACACCATAGCCCGTCACATCGACGAGCATAGAGAGGAGTGAGGATTTACTCTTTGGGAGACATTGGCGAGGGAAGGACCTATCTATCGTCAGCCGACTTTCACCTTTGGGGTTAATAAGGTGAAAAGCAAGGGAGTAGACCTTGCCAGCAATACTTGCCCTACATTCTCTGCGTAGATGGCGACAAGGAAACTGACAGTGCACTATGAGACTACCTAAGCTTGTATTTGGAGTTGGACACACACTACCAACACCACCTCAGCATGGCAACTTTCGAGACCAGCTGGCAGAATTGAGAGAAGCCTTAGGACGTACATAGGAGAGCCTTATCAACTACCAGACCATGAATGAGAAACATTGGGATGCCTTGGAGCAGGAAAGGCATATGGAGATGGAGGATACTTGAGCTTGGAGTAGGAGACAACAAGAGGCATAACAATGGAGCCGTTCGTGATAGAGGACTTCAACAGATCATTTCGAGGCCTCTAGCCCTCTACCCAGGTAGTGCACCACCACCAGGAGGACCCATCATGTAGGAGATGAAGATTTGAGGAAACCACTAGTACTTTTATTTTGTTTAGACTATTTCGAGTCTCTTCGAAACATTTATGGAGAACTAGTACAATGGAGTACCAATTCGGATTTTAACGACATTCGAGGTAATCCGTTCCAACTTTACCGGAACTCACTATCTTATAGTCCATTGAGGAAAATGTGCATTTTAAAGTTGCGATGAGAATGGTTGATATGCTTTACCTTGTTATGATAACTACGTGCTATATATTTAGTCAATAAAATTTGAAAATTTTTCAATGCTAAAATAGTTTTGATATGTGCTTAAAAGTTTTTGAAATAATAAAGATGTTTTTCCATCTAATGACTTTAGTCATCTCCTACAAGCATGATCACTTCTCATCTTATTTTTAATCAATGAGTCTAGCAATCATCACTTGATCTAAGAACGTATAGTGTAGTGAGTAGTGACTATGAAAATTGTCTGCTTAATGAAGCTTATTGTGGGCTTTCATGTTTGCTAGATACATATACAAATGCCCCACTTACACGTATATCTTACAAACTTGTCAAATATGTGAACTTATCAATTCATTTATTTCTATTTTAAATTTTTTTGAAGTAAACCTTTCAACACAATTGTTGGACAGTCCTACTAATAATAACCGGAGCATCATGATTATAAATATCAATATAGTCAAAATACCTTCTTAAAGTTAAAATCTTATGATTTTACGTTTCTAGGTCACCCAAAGGTTTCTACGCAAAATTACACTTTTTTATAGCTAATGTAGTTAAAAACACGCTTTAAATTTTTAAAACTTACGATTTTAAATTTCTAAATCACCAAAACGGTTCTATATAGAAACACGGTTTTGACTACATTGATTAGGGGTGTTCGAACGGATTGGTTACCGTGGTAACCATATCAACCGGTAGTATTCGGTTAATTTGGATAATTGGTTTGGTTTGGTTAAATAATTTAGCTTATTTGGTTTAGGTGGTTTGGTTTGTTTTCAACATTGTTAACCAATGAAACCAATTAACCAATTAATGATACACCTAATATACAAAATTATTTATACTTCCATGCAACCAACCAAACTAAACTTTCATGATTCCCTATTTTATTTCCATGTGCACATAAAACTAAAGCATTATGGGTAAAAAATTAAATGGGTCTGCCTATTTACTAAACCAAAACATTTTGGACATCTACTAGACTTTAGGATTACGTACAATACCATGACAACCACCTCAAACTATATATAGTTTAAGTGTTTTGTAGGAGAGCTTTAACTTCCTAATGAGTGGTATTGGTATGTATTTAATATTGGGTTAATTGCAAGGATGGTCACTGGGTTTACTAAAACCGTTCATGTTTGGTCACTGCAAATATTTAATTCCATTCATAGTCACTAAGATTAGTTCAATAGTTCAAGTTTGGTCACTCTCCGTTAGTTTCCGTTAGTTTTTGCTGATGTGGCAGTCAACTATTATAGTTGACCGTTAAATGAGTGACGTGGCCAATAAAAAAATAAAAAATAAAAATATTTATAATTTCCACCTCATTTTGCAACTATTAAAAAATAAAAATAAAACTTACCTCCGCCATCTACGCGATTCTGATCCCTCCGATTTCTCTCCGCCATCTACTCCGACGGCCAAGCAGAGCTCGGATACCAGAAGAATCCATCGTCGCCATAACCATAACCTTCCCCGTCATCAAGCTCCTCGAAATTCAGGTCATCTTCGTCCGATCCGCCGAGAATCCCAGGTTTGACTTTCTTCAACCCCCTTTCTGATTGCTTCCCTGGCCATCCGTCTTGCTGCTCGCTTTCTCTGGTTATAAAACAATTTCAAAAAGATTCCAAAAAATGGAAGCTCCGCAATAATCAGAGAAGCGCTATGCATCTTCGCCCCGATGGAGACTGATAAGCAGAAAGGAACCGCCGGATAGAGGAACTAACGGTTCATGGCGATGCCGCTAGTTTCACGAACTCCGAGTCAATCGACTGCGGCGGGAGGGACGTCGTCGTCGTTCCGCGGCAGGATAGGTGCAACTAATTTCCCACGGAGGCGGAGGAGATTGAGCTTGAGCGGTGGCGGGGAGAGGAATTGGAACTCGCGAGTTAGAATCTCTGCGGAGAGCAGCGGCGAAGGGCTGAACGCGACGGAGAGAAGCAGCGGAGCGCTATGCATCTTCGTCTGATCCGCCGAGAATCCCGGCGAGTCCATGCGCGGCGACGGTCGACCCGACGTAAAGTTCCGGATCCGAGACGCGGACGCCGTCCACGGACAACACCGACTGGTCCACGACGGTGCCGTTTCTGAGGATGAGCGGGGAGCAGCAGCGGCCGATCATCAAGAGGCGGTGCCCGGGAGGAGAGTGTCGATGTAGGAATCGCCCCGGTCGCGGAGGGAGTTGGCCGGGAGCAGAGCGGGGGAAATGTGGCGGAGGAGGAAGCGGACGTAGCGGGGCACGGCGGCGGAGATGTCGAGAGAGTAGAGGAAGCGGTCAGGGGGCGCAAAGAGCGTGAACGCGAGGGAGGAGTTGGAGGAGAGGAGGCTGAATCGGAGATCCGTGGTGGCGACGACGTTGGGGAGGAGGTAAGTTTTATTTTTATTTTTAATAGTTGTAAAATCAGGTGGAAATTGTAAATATTTAAATTTTTTATTTTTTTATTGGCCACGTCACTCATTTAACGGTCAACTATAATAGTTGACTGCCACATCAGCAAAAACTAACGGAGACTAATGGAGAGTGACCAAACTTGAACTATTGAACTAATCTTAGTGACCATGAATGAAATTAAATATTTGCAGTGACCAAACATGAACGGTTTTAGTAAACCCAGTGACCATCCTTGCAATTAACCCATTTAATATTTATGTTAAGGTTGTTGTAAGCTAACTATATTAGGTGCAAAGATGATGAATGATGATAATTATCATGGATGGTTAGTCTTATTATTGCTTATATATAATGATAGTTTATGAGTCATAACATATAGTTATGTTTTATTCATTAACATTATAATTGTTTTCATGTAATGTTTTATTTGGTTAATCCGATTAACCAAAACAATCAAATTTTTATTTGGTTAATTTGGTTTTCGTGTTAATTTGGACGATTTGGTTAAGACATTTTATTCCATAATTAGTAAAATTTAAACTTAATTGATTTGGTAATTACCACGTTAATCATTTGAACACCTGATAACTATATTGCCCTATTCACCATAGTTAGTGAATACTCCGTTTATTACACGTATATGTACCCGTACGTACTTTATCCGTTTAAAACTTCCGTATCCGTATTATTGTCAAGCCGTTTTTTTTTTGACCGTTCATTTGATGGCTCGCGTATTAAACACGTTTAAAACCCGTATAACACGTTTAATATCCGTATTGTTTAATATCCGTATTTAATGAATAAAATTACTAACTTTACTATTATTTATATATTTATTTATTTTTAAAATAATTTATTTTATATATTTATGACAATTAACGTACTATTAAACATAACATTAGCATAGAAACGAAGTAAAATACCCGTACGTATTTTATACGTAACTTTCCCGTACCGTGTTTTACTAACTATGCTATTCACTCATCTCACTTTTCCATCTTGATTCTTGAGGGTCAATGTTTATTTGGTCCATGAATTTAACTAGAATTTACCCCTTTCCCCAAGAAGATAAAAAAAGAAGGCTACAAAAAGCAAAAGCAGAAGCTCTGTTTTTCAGGCTTCAATTCAAGAGACTTGCAGTCTCGACTCCCAACTCGCTCAACTCTCTCTCTCTCTCTCTCTCTGCTGCTCTCTCTGTCTCTGAGTCTCTCCTTTTCCCCACGACTCAACTGTGCTGGTTTGGTTTCCAGTGAGAAAAAGGCAGAAAAAAGTGCCATCATTGACAAGAGCCTCGAGTTTTACTGATCCCCACCATCCCTCTCTCTCTGTTTCCCCCACTCCCCTGTTTCTTGTTTTTTTCATCCGCCAATCTCTCCTCCCCGCCTTTGTTTTCAACCGTCTGCTTTCTTCCCCTCTCCAGCCATGGCGATCCATTTTCTCCACAAAATTTGGAAGCCCACGACGCCGTCCGCCGAAATCGTAGACGGGTCACTCTCAATTCAATAAAAGGCAGAAGCAATCAAAATTGCGGTGAAAGCGGAAAGAACAGGGGAAAAACAGGGGAGCTCTCTAATTGTTGCTTTTTTTAATTCTCTTCGGCTTTTGTTGGTAAAATGGGCGCCGACGACAGGTGGATAACGGTTCCATCTCCGGCGGCGGCGATGGCGTCGCTGAATTCGGAGAGGGAAGACCACTGGAGGCATTTCGACAACTCGGTCGACGCGGTATCGTTCGGGTTCGTCGCTACAGCGATCCTCATATCGATGTTCTTAGTTATGGCCATTTTCGAGAGGTTTCTACGGCCGAGATCGTCACTGCAGCTCCCTTCTTCTTCGTCTTCCGTTGCCATGGCTTCATCGGATCTCGAGGCACAGTTCGCATTGCATGGGAAGCTCGGCTACCCTTCTCCTAAAGTACGCTTCTTCTCTCAATCATCCTCTTTTCATTTCGCCTTGGCTTTTGTGTTGTTTTCCCTTTCCTCTTTGGCTGCCTGGAAATCAGTCCAATTACACCACTAAACTAGTAACAGATTTTCATTATAACAAATCAGTAATCGCTATTAACTTAAGTAATAAGTAATTAAGTATGTACTTAGACGGTTGGACGTTGAATGCATGTGGTGACAATTATTTTCACAATTGTGACAACATCTGTATACTGACACTATGAATCGTGGAACTCTCGATCCGACGTGACTAATGAACATGTTCTTAGATGAAAACCTGTAAACACAGCAACCTTACCAACTAGCTGGTCATAAATAAGAAAATGTTAGGTTCAGAATCACGTTCAACTGTTGGTACCAGAAGGCAATGCAGCAATGCTTGCTTTGTTCACATTATTGAATGATAGCACTCTCAATTACTTTTATGCTTTGCTTTTTTGGCCAAATGTTGACAAACTTACAAATCTGGTTGTGGATTCTGTTTTGCGGCATTATCCCCTTCTTTCGGTTGTTTGCTTCTCAATTGCTTTTTATATGAATTGCCTGTACGGTGATGCAATAATTTTTCTCTTATGCAACCAAATATTTGTTCTAACCGTTTTGCCCCTAGGTCCAAATTTATTAAGAACCTAACAATAAAAACAAATTTACATTCCTCAATAACAAATAACTTTTCTTTTAATTAGGGTAGAAATGAGTTGTCATAATTAAAAAAAGCCGAGATCCGATGGAAGGCTGAATGAAATGCAATAGCTTAGTTTGACCCTGCTGTAGCTTTTACAGAAACAGCTTATGGCTAGAGCTTTTAGATAAATACTTTTCAAAAAAATCAGTTGAGTGTTTGGCTGTAAAACTATTAGAAGTGCTTTTTAATGTGAGAGATTGTGTAAAATGACTATAAAGGACCTATAATATAAAATAAAAATTCTAAACAATAAAAAGTAGTCAAAATGGTTCTTGTTAGATTTCTTTTATATTAAATAATATGATTTTATAATTTATTTTATTTTTAAAATGATATAAATGAAGTAAAATTATATTTTCTGAAATAAAATTAAAATATGGTAAGGATAATCTTGTATTTTTAAAACAGCTTTTCGCAGAAGCTCCAAATCGGAGCTTCTGCTTTTATGTTATACAAGAGCGCTTTTCGGCTTTCAAAAGCCGAGCTTTTACAGGTGTTTGGCCCTGCTTCAACTTTTGAACCCGAAAATCACTTCTAAAAGTCGGGCCAAACATAGGGAATGATATGACATGCATAATAGATTTTTTACTTTTAAACAAAATTATATTGATTCAGCGAATTTAATTAAGAATATTTTTTTTTTGAATATGAAAGTTAAATGATGATATTATTTGTTTGATTCAAGTATGAATGTTTAGATGTTTATGTTATTGTTGGATTCAAGTATAAACTTTTGGATGTTTGCGATAAATATTTGTATTTAAGTATGATGATTTTTCATTTTTTTTAGAATTTTATTTAAATATAGATGTAACTCTTAGAGCCTGGATTATATATATGCACTAAATGCACCCAAAAAAGTGAGTGCACTGAAGACGCCACCATATATATATAAATTAAGCGTTTGATGATTTTCACTTCTTTACATGTTTTACTAAAATCGATACGAACCGGTATAAACCGATTATACCATCAGATTAAAAAAAAAAGATTATACCATCAGTAATGCCATATCACATGATGATGATGATATAAACGGGTTCGACAAACTCACTGAATATATACCAAGTCCATAGTTTGTATCAAGAAGAATGATTAGTAACGAGGGGGCAATTATGAAGGCTTTCACCGTTTCTAGGGGCTTTTTTGGCTTTGATTGAAAGTTTCGTGGGCTTGATTTACGGCGGGTACAGATTAATAAATTAGATTAAAAAAGCACAACAACAATTCCTATGATTATTCATTGGGAAAATGAGTTTGTGTGGACTTCTTTTGATAGCTTAGCTAGCCTAGTGGAAGAGAGGGGGCTGTTTGCATTACGTCAATCATCATAATTAATCACGCTGCATTATCCCATTGTTAATAATACATACACTCATAACGGCACTCTAACGCAACCCCTTTTCCTCGTTAATCTCGGAATTATTACTTAGTGCTCATCCCGATGGAGGTTTTTTGTTTATTCTTTTTCAGTTGTATCGTAGAAAACGAATCCTGTGTATAACCAATTAACCATCAATCATATTAGTTATTCAATAACAGCCAATTTCGTATATTTTGTAACAAAAATAACACTTTAATCTAGTTTATCACGTTAATCTAGTATAAAAGATTATATCATGATAATATGAAAATATATAATATTGATAAGATGATGATATATAACTGGTGGGCAATGGGCGGGTTGGGTGGATTTTCGTCTCAAATTAACTCACTTGTTTTCTAGCGAGTTGGAATAATGGTAATCCGCAATCCACCTACATTCTTTTGCGGGCCGGGTTGGGTGGGTGGCGGATGGGTGCTGTTGGGTCGTGGGTTAACCCGCAAAAGTATTTTCCAACAAGCCATTAAGTAAGTTGACTAACATTTATAATAATCTCATTGCAAATTAGGAAGACTGTATCAATTTAGACACTTCTCACTTTGTCTCAAGTGAATCCATATAGTAATTTGTGTAAAAAAATTTACTACTCTATCAACCACTTGTGTAGAGAAACTTACGCATTTTTTTGATTTTGATACAATTAATAATTTATAGTTTTCATCTCAATATTTAATGGATATTAACCATAATTCCCATTTCAATATCCAATATTTTTTAATGTGAAATAATGTAGTATCAATTTAACCAGTACCCATTAGAAATATGCAACCAGACTGTAGTGTGGTTTGGAAATATGATTAATATTCGATACTATAAGAAACGACATTCTTTCATGTGAAAATCAGATGCGGATTATTCGAGTGACTCGCAATCCAATCACCACTCACCCACCCACATAAGTGCGGGTGGGAGATTTATCAATCCACAATCTACCCACATCAATCACCCACTGCTTACAGATCAGGTTATTTACGGGTGGAACGATATCAATTCGTGGACTAACCAACCACGTTTTCACCCCTAAATTTATTGTTTTTCGAGGCAAGTTTCTTAAAAACAAAGGAGAAATTTTACAATGCTATATAGTATTGGTGCTATAGGTTTTTGCTTTTATGGTACAACTTAAAATTGTACATTTACGTTATGGTATAACTTCAGATTGTACCTATACGTTTGGTACAAATTCTTTTATGGTACAACTTGAACTTGTACCTTTATGTGATGGTACAACTTCAAGTTGTAAAGTTGTACCATAACATAATAGTACAAATTGCTTTATGGTACAACCTAAACTTATACATTTAATGTTATGGTACAAATTTAAGTTGTACATTAAAGCACCAATGCTATATAGTATAGTAGAAGTGTTCAAAACAAAGGGATAATCAAGATCCAAATATCGTTATCCAAATATTTAGAACAAAGAGATACGCTTCCATAGTAGACCTTACCTCTCTTTTATTTATGTACTTGTTTTCATTTCATTTTAACTAAAATTTCCGTTTTTAGTCGAAAAGGGAAAGCTATATGGAACTTCTTATGAATTAATTTTTGAAATTCGTCAATTAAAAGGATAAATGTTCAATAAACTAAATCTGGTTTATTGTAGGAACATGAGGACTAATATGACTAATTAATTAATAATAACGGGTCCATTATATTCCAATTCCATCATGCACGCCCTTCATAATGTGGAATTTGTCTCCTAGTGTCCCCCTCCGTAGGTAGCTTGCTTTTCCCCGCCTCTCCTCGATTATAATTAATTATTGCTCCAAACAAAACGCCGCCTATATAAACATTTGCTAGGTAGGTTACTACGTACTAACAGAGCCCACAAAATGCTCAATTTTCTTGTCTTTTTTGGTAGAATGCTCAATTTTCAACACACTACTACAATACAATTTAAAAAAAATAAAGTATGCAATGCATTAGGAGTGATAATCGGTGACTGGTTAGTCGGCTAGCTTAAAACCAAAACGAAAAACTCGATTAATATGCTAACCGAAAATTGATAAAAACATGTAGGTCTCGACTTCGGTTTGGAAGATTTAGGTTATTAGCTAACCGCCGGTTGTCAGTTGCAAACCGATTAAAAATCAGTGCACCGATACATAACCGAGAGCTCTCCTCCTCAATCAAGAAGATCAAATTCTTCATCTGTCATCGAGTTCTTTTCCTCTCCTCTATGATTCCTCTTCCTCTTCTTCTTTTCCCCCCACCACAACACCTAGACCCTAGCCTACAAATCATTTCCCCTCATCCATGAACCCTGATTTCCAGCATCTCAATCGTCGCCCCGCCGTCCGTCGTCCTTTTTTGTCGGCCTCGAAGCTTTCATCTCACGACCAATCGCCGACCCCAATCTTGACAATTGCCGACCCCAATCTCTATTGGGAGACCTCTTCTGTCGACCCAAATCGCCACTCGACAACCTCTTCTCACTGACCTCAATAACCCCAATCGGAAACCGTATTCCCTTCCTTCTTGACGTGGCAGAGGATTTGTGGGCAAGATTTCAAGAAGGAAATCGATTTATGGAAATGAAGGTTCTATGGGTGGATGATGAAGCATGGCTCGATCTGGAAGAAGAAGGAAGGCAAAGAAATCGATGAAGGCTAGATCTGGAAGAAGAAAGTAGGCAAAAAAATCTATGAAGGAAGGAGGCCATATTAAAAAAATATATGATATTTTTAACTTTTTTATTATTAATAATTGGGTGGGCGGGCAACCGATTAACCGAACCGACATAACGAGTTATCAATTGTGGCTAATCGATAAGGTTGTCGGGGGTGGTTTCGGTTGTCTGTTTCAGCCTCTTATCAACGGTCGGTTTGGTTAAACCGAAACTGCACTGACTATCACTCCTACAATGCACCACACTAGTAGAATTATGGATCATTTGGTTTGGTGATAGTTAAATTTATGCATTATCACAATGCATGCATAATCATATATATGTATATAAGAAAATTTGTGTATTATAGTTTACATCGTTTGGTTTATGTGATAGTTATTGTTGTCTTTAAATAATTATATTACTTTTTGGGTGAAATGTCACTTTTACCCTTTGTTTTTTATATATAAGAATGCAACACACATAAAAAAATAGGGATATAATCAAACAATTTCATCAATCTCACAAAAAACTTGAGATTTAACTATCACTTAGAGGTCATTTGGTATTTGCGATTGTTAGAATTATGTAATGTTTAACTATCTCAAAACACAATCTCAACAATCTCACCGAATGGTTGAGATTGTAAATCATTCATATTTAATGATTTCAAGTGTCACATCATCAATCAAATACATGCATTGTATTTCATTTTGAAACAAAAAAATGATGCATTATATACAATACATGTATTCATTAAATGCATCATTTAGATACACATATATCAAATGACCCCTTATTTTGAGTGATAGTTTGTCTCACATCAAGCAAACAATGCATGTATTGTTTGTGAAAAAATTCAAAAAAAAAAATAATAATAATAATAATAATGCATTGTAAACAATGTATATACCAAAACCAAACGACCATGTTCCATACAAGAGTTGGCAATCTTTCAACAGCCTAGTTATTCTGCTAACTTGAAGATTCGTTAGTATATACTAACTAATATCCAAAATGTATGAACTAATATCCAAGTCTGCTAAATATCTAGATAGCACATACTAGTATTCAAAACATCACAAACTAGTATCCAGATAGCAGATACCAACTAATATCTACAATCAACCAACTAGTATTCAATATGAATACTCTTATGGGTTATCTGAATACTCTTATGTGTTATCTGGTACTAATTATGTGCTGTTTGGATACTATTTTGTGTTGTCTAGATATTAGTTTGTAAATTTAGGATAATAGTTGATTCATGGTGGATATCAGTTAGCAAACTTTGAATACTAGTTTGTGCTCTCTAGATACTTTAGTACTTGTGCATATTAATTCATGTATTTTGGATATCAATTAGTATTTGCTAACGAATCTCCAAGTTAGCAGATTAACTTTTCCCATCTTTAATTTGATCTAAGAATAAAAGATAAAAGAAAATCGAGACAAATAATATTATATAAAATACTCAAATCATGTTTCATTTTGAATGTGTTTGGAAAAGATTTGATAAAATTCAAAATTGAAATACATTTTGGACTCATTTGGGAAAAAGGATTTTGACCATAAATTCAGTACAAAATATGTTTTTTCTTTGTTGCTTTTTGTATCATGGATTTCACTTAAGAGCTTCCAAATCTATAAAATATAAATATATCAAATCTCTTATAATTAGAGAGATTTTATATTTTGATTTGTCAGATTTTCCCCTATTATCTTTTATTTTTTATTTATACCACTAAATACCCTTATCAATAAATCTCAATATTTGTCGAGTCACACTGAAATCTTATAATTAAGGATAAACATGTCTTTTGATAAAAAAATATAATTTCTATTTTATTGAACGATTAAAAATTATAGTTATCAAACTATAGAAAATTTTAAATTTTTCTACAATCCGAAGAGTTAAATATTTTTAATTAATTATAATATAAAGATTTAGACTCCAATTCTATAAACGAGCTCTATATTCATACCGGTTTGGTTCAATTCCAAAATATCCGTTCTGCTTTGATCTAGTGTGGAGTGAATAATTACACAATGTATTCTCATTTTCATTAAATGCAAAACAAGAATGCGCTAACATGATTACACACACGCCTTGTAATTTGTTGTACATGAGCAAATTATGTCTCTAAAGATGCATACACAAACATAGTATTATCAAAACTGACCATTTCCCATTGTTTCCTGACCTTGTGAATCTCAATTTGCTCTCACCTTTTGTTTATATCTATTAACTATTACTGAACCAAATCCCTAGTCCCACACTTTGCATTTGTCATGGGCAATGGACTTTCTTGGTTTTCTACGTAATACTACTTTTTTGGGGGAAATTCTATGAATCCGTTACTGAATTTCAATTCAGATTTCAGACCCATGATTTGTGGAAACGAGCATGAAATCTGGGGACAAGAAAAGAAAAGAATAGAAAAGGGTTCCTTTTTCCGTTTCTTTAAATCCAAGCCTTGCTAGTGGGTAAGGTAAAGGAATTATGTCTTGATGCTCGGCAGTTTTACTGTAGTAGTGTGTGATGGGGTATGAGTATTGTTTTTGAGTGGTCCTGTTCAATTCGGTCTCGTTAAAAACATGTTTTATCATGATTTATCTTAATACTTGTACTTCTCTTCTTTTGATTATTATGAATCCATATTTTCAACCTAAAGAATTTAAGATTATATATTTCAACTATTTAGGCTTAATTATCCTTCACTATAATTCTCATTCATTTATGAAGTATTTTCTCTATATGTTCTTGTGAAAGAATTAAATATTTACCTATTTTTTTCAAATATATCATATAAGAATGAGTTGACCCATCCCGCACTTTACTCGTGCATATATCACTCAACCTGACTCGCACTTAGTATGGAACGAGTATGAATATTGAGATACCCGTCCTGCCCATTGCTATCACTAGGTAGAATATGTAAAAAAAAAAACATGCTTATAAGGTGTTATAAGATTGTTGGATCTCTTGTTGGGCGCTCTGTAATCATTGGATGCAAGCCATAGCAATTTGTGAAGTTGATGATAACGATGGAATCCCCTCTGCGCGCGGAGTGAATGCTTTAGTTGTTTACAAGTACTTGTTTACCTAAATGCTAGCTGGTTTACCAGTACGTTGAATTTTGCTTTGTTGAGTTTCAGATGACAGTATATGCGAAAGGCGTATCAGTGTTGATGCCGGGGGAACATGTTCCAACCTACCTCGCACATCCAGCTCCGGTGCCTTGCCCGCCGGACCGCGAGCGACGGCCGTTCCACCCTCACCGCGGCCAGTACTGCCTTATTAGCTTCCCCACCACAAGCTAGAAACAAAACAGACGAGAGGAAGCCGGCCGGCTAATTCACATCATGACTCCGACTGCAATCCACCACCGAAACTACTATTTGTAGGTGGTAATTAAGCGTGTGTATGTGTAAATGGAGAATGGAAGTGGGGGATTGCTTTACTGATTAGCTTCCTTCATGGTTATTGAGGAGAAGATGTGCATAGAAGATGGCTCTGTAGATTCCATGAAACTTGGATGTTATAAATTTGCACTGCGACCGTTCTTCCGCCTGCAAACTGCATCACCCCGTACGCGTGTAATTGGTCTATAAACTATAACTCCAACAAGAGTCTATCGAAATTAAGGGAAACATCCGCTGTGTTAGCACCATTTTAACATAATTGATTAAGGGTGTTATAGTAATTATCTACTCATAACAGCTTCCTTCTCCACCCTCTGTCTCATGAATTTGAGTTTCATATACATAGTTTGGTATCTAAACTTAATAGATTTCAGTGTAAATACAATATATTAGCCACAACTATTATCAAGCGGGGAATTATAGCCACAACTATTGAAATTCAAATTATTAGCCAAACGTTAACTATCTGTTAACAATTTCGTTAGTAATACTGACTAAACTTTTATGTTTTGAAGTTATAAACTAAAAGCATTCCTACGTGGCCGTTGTCGTGGCCGATGATGTGGCCTTCTCCGTAAAAAATTTAATAACAGTAACAGACAGTTAGCCATATCTTGACCTGCAACAATAGTTATGACTAATAATTTGAATTTTCATAGTTGTGGCTATAATTCCCCGCTTCATAATAGTTGTGGCTAATATATTGTATTAACCCTAGATTTTAAACTAAAAGTAAGATAGTCTAACGGTAAAACTATCGCGACAATGAGGTGTTGGGAGTTGCAGATCACAGGTTCGAATCCAAGCGAGGCCCGTTGGTGTTCCCGTAGGGTACAAGGTTGTTGGGTGCGAAGCCCCGTTGGCGTCAAATTTGATTGCAGGTGGCCCACAGTTTTAGTAGAACCTGCCGTCACATAGTGGCACATGGAGCTGAGGTTCCTGGGTAATAAAAAAAAACTTAATAGATTTAATACTTATTTTTTGCATATAAGTATAAAGATATTGATGGAAATTCTATTTAAGATTTAGTACTTTTTTTTTGCATATAAGTCTAAATGATATTCGATCTACGAACTTCTGGGGAAAAAAATACATGACCAAAATGTACCACTCCATATCACCCTGGTATGAGTGAAGTGGTGGTACACAATGATGTATGTGGTAAATGACAGCTCGCATATTCCTACTATCATGTATTCAACCATTATACACTATGGTGTGTTCATATCACCATGGTACACTTCAGTATCACGTGATATGATTTTATGTTATACCAAGCATTACCACCATGCTATAGACTGGTACTAAATGTCTCAATTTTTTTGTTCCAAAAATATATCAAAGTGGATATCATTTTGTAAAGCACAATTAATCTTATTTATCTATGAAAAAAATTTAAATTACGACTTAAAACAAAAGAGATAAAATTTATAGGGGAAATGATTAGAGGTCTTCCATAAATGATGATGTGACGGTGATGTGGCAAATGATGCATGGTTATGAACCACAAGGTTATTCACGTGAACTGCTCCCGATTGGACAAATGGGATGCACGGGAAAAGAGGGTATTATGGGTGAGGTGTTGTCGTTTATAAATAAGTTCATCAATGCCAAGAAATTTGAAGGTGACTCGCTAAAACACAACACCTAACAATGGCCAAGTGTAACCAATGAAAGGGACTGCAGTATAGTGGCGCAAGTAATAAATATCGAATCCACGGGTCTCTAGAGTTACTATTACTCAGCTTCAGTTCATTATCTAGCAAACTAGATTAAGGATTGATTAACTAAACTACTCTACTAACTAAACTAAGTAAAACTACTAATTACAGTTTGGGAACTCACTTAGGTATGATTCCCCCTAGCTCCTCAATCAGGTCCAAGTTGTAATTCCTTTTGGTTGATTTACTGTTGATTAAACTGCGGAAGATCCGACAGTAGCTTGGAATCTCTTAAGCTGACCAAGCCCTCTCAGTCTAACTATCCGGCAGACGACTAGTCTTCACCGGGATAGAAAGCTGAAGCAATAAGCACAGAACTCCACTACTGGAATTGGAATCCAGTACAAAGCAGTAAACTGGCTAACTCTCGTATAGCCAATCTCCTACTACCGAATGATGAGACTCTAGCAACCTAATCAGATTCTATCTATCTCAGATTGCAGCAGGAATCAGGAAAAGTTGATCAGACTTCAATTGACTCAATAAACATGCATCATTCGATTATAATCAAACAATATAGCATCCAAAACTTCATACAAGAAAGATCCTAACTCATGGAACTAAGGTTCCTCAAAACCTAAGTGAAGGGAAGTTACTCCATAGAGAAGAGAGAGACTGCAGAAATCTGATCTAGATCTTCAATCTCCATCTCCAAGCTTGATTCCCGAGCTCCAATGGCGAAGAAATCCTCCAAAATAGCTCCAAGAATGTTCCCAAGTCGCTCTCTCTCTCTAGGGTTCGTCCCTTGGGTGTTTGGGATCCAAAACCCAGCTCTCCCCCTTTCCTTTTGCTGAAAATCGGGTTTTAAACAGCAATTTCCGACTCACACGGCCAGGCCACACGGCCGTGTGGCTTTCCCAGCTGCCCGTGTGAAGGCTCGGTGATTTCCACACGGGCAGCTGGGAAAGCCACACGGCCGTGTGGGTTGTGCCCGTGTGGCTTGCTCAGCCTCTGTTTAATGCTTCATTTCTCCCTCGTCCGGACTCCGAATCAGTCGCCGTTTGATCCCAGACGCTCGTAGTCTCGTCCTCTTTCTTTTCATGACAATCTTGCATGATTCTTTGTCCATAAAGTGAGGTAGAAATCCATTCTTCTTCAGGTCATACCCGAGTTTCTTCTCCCGAATCGTCAATTGATCTCTGATTGACTTGAAACTTGCGCCTATGCTTCACTTTATGTGCTAGGACCTGAAATGTGACAAAGGAACACAACCTAGCGTAAAATAGGTCAAAGACACGATAATTCAAGCTCAAACAATCAAGAAACAAAGGGGAAAACATGTGCAAATACCGAGTCATCAGAAGGCAATCAACGGCCAGGCTTTTTCAACCCAAAACATCTCGTATGAGAGTTTTGTTACCTTCTTCTGTGCATACAACAACTGTGCCTTTTCCTTCCACTTTTAGCTTCTTCCCGTCCCCCAGTTTGACTTGAGAGCGGTATTTGTCATCGATATCGGTGAAAAACTCCAGATCTCCAGTCATGTGGTTACTGCAACCACTATCCACCATCCAGGGAAACTGTGATTTTTGCTCACCATTCAAGCATGACAAGGCCACCATATTGCTTTCTTCATTTTTGGTGCCGCTTGACTCGCCTTCTTCTTAATTGTTCTAGAACCAGCAATCTCTCTGGGAGTGGTTTTGAATTCTACACTTGGTGCACTTGAATCTGCAGTCTTTTGTTGCATGACCCGCCTTTTTACAAATTATGCAACTCGAGCCGGTGTAGCTCAATTTTTGTTGTTGATAATTTTTTCTGTTGTTTCCTCTGTAATTGGATCTTACTCTTCCTCTTCCTTGTGAGTTTCTCCCTCTTTGGCCTTACTCCGATTTGACATATTTACTTTCTGTCATGTTGACTTTTAACGAGAAAGCTTGCTCTAGTGGCGGTTTGGTGAAGAGGCTCATTCTTTGCTCATGTGCTACAAGTGAGCTCATTAACTCGCTCATTGGTAGATTTGGTAATCTTTGGTTTCTTCAACGACAGCAACAATATGCTCGAACTTTTATGAAAAATTGCGGAGAATTCTCTCCACAATTTTTATTTCTTCCATAACATCAACGGTGGCTTTGATCTGGTTGACTGTCTCCGCCACACGCGAATGGAAGTCTTTGATGGTGTCGGTTTCCTTCATCATCAAGTTGTCGAACTGTCGCCATAAACTTTGGCGCCTGATGGAGATTGCCTTTTCACAACCTTGAAATTGTTCACGCAAGACATCGCAAACTTCTTTGGCCTTTTTGATGCCATAGATTCTCGGGTAAATCGATTTGCTCACTGCTTGTTGAATTATTCTCAAGGCGCTGACATTTTGCTTGGCATTCTCCTTGTACTCCTTTGTTTGCTTGCCTGCTCGTTTCTTCGAGTCTTCATTCTTGTCTTGTGGATCTTCATATCCTTCTTGGACGATATCCCACAGATCTTGAGAGATGGAAAATGGCTCCATTTGGGCACTCCAGTACTCGTACAATTCTCCATCGAAAATGGGAATTTGATTAGAGGAGGTAGCAAACATGGTGTTTAATGAAGTTGTTGCCATGTCTTTTTGAGAAGATTTGTGTATGCTAGAGAGGTGGGGATTTTTGAGAGAATAGAAGGGTATTAGTTCTGATTCCAAATTTGTTGGGGATTAGCGGAATTGTGGTAGAAATTAGGATCAACACAAAGGAAACATTTGATGTTTAATCACTCAATTTATGATTCACTCAACATTAGCATAGCCTTATTAATTTGGCTTATACTTTAACACACACAACAAACAAAATACATACATGGCAACCTTGTGCCTTTCTTTCTTTTCTTTTGTTTATGCTTTTGCCCACTCTCTGATTCTCCCATGTCCATACACGCAGACATATATATATGGGAAGATAAAAATAAACACAAGCATTACTCTTGTGACCATACACGAATTATTATACAATTGTTGCTCTTAATCAAAGCTGTAGATGCCCTCCACCATAATTGCCCAACTGCTCTCTATGTGTTGTGTTGTGTTGTATTGATGTATCACCATTATTCATCAGCTCAAACATCTTCTCAGCATGTGCACTTTTTGAAAGGTAATTTAATCAATGGAGTAAAGTGTATGTCTTCTTGATATGATGGCAATGAGACAACTTTAGATAAGCTTGCATTATTGCAAATTATCAATCAACACCCCCTCTTAATTTTCAATTTGAAGTATCTTCTTGAACTTCTCAAATTTCTCACGGGTGACCGCCTTTGTCATGACATCTGCTGGCTGGTCGTCGTTGTTGATGAATTCCATCACGATTAGTCCTTCATTGCGAGGTCTCAGATGAAATGATGACGCAACTCGATATGCTTCGATCTAGCGTGAAATACTGGATTCTTTGTCATGGCTATGGCTGACATGTTATCACAATGAATAATGGTTGAACCATTTTCATTTTGCTGCAAATAATAAATTAATCTTTTTAGTCATACCACTTCGCATGTTGCATAAGTAGTTGCGATATATTCTGCTTCCGCTGAAGATAATGCCATTTTCCTTTGCTTCTTTGAACTCTAGGAAATGGATTTTGAACCCAGGCAGAATATGTACCCCGATTTCTTTGTACCTTGAAGATACCGCAAAATTCTTTTAGCTGCTGCAAAATGAAGTTTGCTAGGTTCATTCATAAATCTTGATATAAGACTTACTGAATGACATATATCCGACCTGTTATTTGTTAGATAAATGAGTGACCCGACAAGACTTATGTAAAGCTTTTCGTCGACTTTTTCAGCTCCATCACTGACACGCTAAAACACAACACCTAACAATGGCCAAGTGTAACCAATGAAAGGGACTGTAGTATAGTGGCACAAGTAATAAATATCGAATCCATGGGTCTCTAGAGTTACTATTACTCAGCTTCAGTTCATTATCTAGCAAACTAGATTAAGGATTGATTTATAAACTACTCTACTAATTACAAGTTGGGAACTCACTTAGGTATGATTCCCCCTAGCTCCTCAATTAGGTCCAAGTTGCAATTACTTTTGGTTGGTCTACTGTTGATTAAACGGCGAAAGATCCTAAATTAGCTTGGAATCTCTTAAGATGACCAAGCCCTCTTAGACAGAATACCCGGCAGGCGACTAGCCTTCACCGGGATAGACTGCTAAGGCGATTCACACAGATCTCCACTACTGGAATGAATTCCAGTACAAATCAGTGAATTTGTTGACTCTCGCACAACCAATTCACCACTATCAATCAAGGAAGCTCTCTTAACCTAATCAGATTCTATCTATTATAGGTTAAAGCAGAAATCAAGAGAATTTGATCAAGATTCAATTGACTCAATAAATCATGCCTCAATCGATTATAATAAAAAAATATAGCATCCAAAACTTCATACAAGAAAGATCCTAACACATGGAACTAGGGTTCCTCAAAACCTAAGTGAAGGGAAGTTACTCCATAGAGAAGAGAGAGACTGCAGATATCTGATCTAGATCTTCAATCTCCATCTCCAAGCTTGATTCCCGAGCTCCAATGGCGAAGAAATCCTCCAAAAAGCTCCAAGAATGTTCCCAAGTCGCTCTCTCTCTCTAGGGTTCGTCCCTTGGGTGTTTGGGAACCAAAACCCAGCTCTCTCCTTTCCTTTTGCTGAAAATCGGGTTTTAACCAGAAATTTCCGATCACACAGCCAGGCCACACGGTCGTGTGACTTCCCAGATGCCCGTGTGAGGGCTCGGTGATTTCCACACGGCCACATGGCCAGTTCACACGGCCGTGTGGGTCGTGCCCGTGTGGCTTGCTCAGCCTCTGTTTAATGCTTCGTTTCTCCCTCGTCCGGACTCCGAATCAGTCACCATTTGATCCCAGACGCTCGTAGTCTCGTCCTCTTTCTTTTCATGACAAAATTCCATGATTATTTTTCCATAATATGAGGTAGAAGTCCATTATTCCTCAGGTCATGCTCGTGTTTCTTCTCCCGAATTGCCGAATGATCTCTGATTGACTTCATACTTGCGCCTATGCTTCAATTTACATGCTAGGACCTGAAATGTGACAAAGAAACACAACCTAGCATAAAATAGGCCAAAGAAGCGATAATGCAAGCTTAAACGATCAAGAAACAAAGGGGAAAACATGTGCAAATATCGAGTCATCAAATCCCCCAACACTTAACCGTTTGCTTGTCCCCAAGCAAACCTAACTCAAACCAATGCAGCTCTCCAGACCTCTATAGCAACAAACAACCCCGATTGTCGGTAGAGGATTTTCTAGATCATATAGCAGCTTACGAGGTCAACTGATCTTCTAAGACGTTCCCTATCTCTCTCAATGCGAGTACTAGACTCAAGCCAGGATCATGAGAAGAAGTGGAAGTAAGACAGCCAGTTCATGGATAAAGGGACTCACACCATTCACAACCAAGGACTCATTGTACCGGGGTGCTCTTTCACTTCATTTCACCGTTGGAACCCTTTTTTGCACTGTCATTTACATTTCTTTTTCTCTTTTTTTTTTCTTCATTCACTTGGCGGGGGTTCCAACTGCTGTCTTTTGCACGGTCGACCCTTATTAGTCGAGCAAGAGAAATCTTTATACACCTGGCGCTTGCCAGGGTACTTCTTTTAACTCCTTTTCCTCAACTCGTGTGGAGGGTCAATGAAATTAAGGGGGGTCGGAAGCTCTATCCGTGCCCTTAAAAACACATCCTCGAGTAGGCAAACCGTTCAACGGGTGGAAGTTTTACTTGTACTGGAGACAGCTTAGCTTCACCTTGTAGGAGTACCCCACTAAGGATCACTAAAATCTCCTCCAAAACCCGATTTTGTGCAATGAACGGTGCCACACACGTTGGGCTTACCCCATGTTTAAGATTTTTGATGATTTCGACATGGAGGACCAACTGCTTTTCATTTGCCACATGAGCACCATGTTCAATACACGAGTCCATAACACAATTCAAACAGAGTCCACATTACCACATGAATTCAACGGTCTTAGCTCCACTAATTCACAAAATCAACTGACACAGCACAGAGCTAGATAGGAAAAATCTTATACTTCAACATCCTCCATAGTGCTACACTACCTCCCTAGGTTGCACATTACTATAGAGACTGTCAATTCAAAGCATACTGAGCAGGCAATTTGCAAGGAAGCACGTACTTGGAGCCCTCTAATTTAAAATAAAATTTGTACAGTGGACTAGGCCCCAAGCACACAAACAACCAAACATTCACCCGCATACATAATCGAACATCCCCCCACACTTAAGAATGACATTGTCCTCAATGGAGGAAAGATAAGGAGGGTAGAACGAAGTTACCAGATCAAGGGTGAATGATGATGGACGGGGCAGGCGGTGCATTCCAGGAAGAGAGAGTAATCAGAACACAAACACCACACAAAATCTCACAAAGGTTGAGTGAGTTACTGACTCTAAAATCAAATAAAAAATGACTAAACCGAGGAGAAATGGAGAAAGAAATTCAAACCGACTAGTTGGGTTGCCTCCCAACAAGCGCTTCTTTCACGTCGTGAGCCGGACGATGGCTCCTAAGTTTCGGTCCATGCTAGAACCTCCTTGAAGTTGAGGTTCTCGTCAATGAGGTGGAGTCGCAAGTCACGAGCATGTGGTATGACTGGTGATGGAAGCTCGTGCACTTGATGCAGATAAAGTCTCCATCCTCGAGACCTCTTCTTCTCTTCTCTCGTCCCATTTCCCCAAACCAGATATGACAGCATCGATTGGCCACCATCGCGTCCACCAAGAGGGACGGATGTCGATGTGGCCTTGGTCTGGCAAAGAGACACTGCAAATGGGTCCTTGTTAAGCAGTTCCTCGAAGTTTGGCGGGGATATTACTTGTATTATAGGTCCGGTGCAAGCCTCTTCCACCTCGACTTCATCCTCAGCCTGGACACCACTTGCTTCTTCAACCCCCCTTCCTTCTTCAAAATGTGGTCTCTCTCCTCGGAAAAGATCAAGAACTACCTCTTCTTTGCTTTCTTCCTCATCCTCCACAACTTCTTTCCTCACCCTTTCTCTCTCTTCTTCTTCCATAACTGATTGGAGAGCAAGTCGCCATGCAAGGTTCTCAATAAGTTCAGCTTGCATCTCCTCGCTCGGGCCCAGCATGTCAGAGCGGAAATGGGGAAAGTTGTGATCTACCACCAGAGGATACACTTGATCATGATTATCATGGGAGCTTTCCTTGACAACTTCTGTATGCTCCTCAACATCCTCATGATTGCCTTCTTCTTCCTCCACCTCTACTTGTATGGCAGCATAAAGGTTGTCTTGAGAAAACTGTGAACAGGCTTTCTCAATGACCTCTATGTGCTCCTTTATGCTCCTAAGGGTATCCTCTGTTTCACGGGGAAATGAGAAGTCAGTTTGGGCAATGGCCTGGATATGAGGATCCATCTCGGGAAAGGATCTCTCAGGTACTCGAGCAATCTGCTCCATGAGAAGCCTCAAGTGATAGTTTAGATCCGGCTGTGGAGTGTAGCTTGGCTCTGCCGGATCGTCCGTGAAGGCTGTGGCAAACCCAAGATCTGATGGTCCTTCTTGTTGTGGGAGGAATTCATCTTGATAAGGAGATTGTTCTTGAAATACCCAGGGGTCTGATTGTTCTTCGTAGTAGGGGGGTTGGTACTGAAACCCGACTCCATAGTCTTCTCCTCCTTGGTTACTCTAGGGAGTCTTGGGGTAATACCACTCGGATGGTGGTGGATACCCCCAATGGTTGGAGAAGGCATGAGGGTCCATGATTCAGATCTGCACCAACAAAAACAAAAAACACCCAAGTGAAAAGCAAGGGCGGAAAACAAAAGAAAAACGCTAAAGTAACAAACTTCCGCCTTTCCTAATAATCTAGAAAGTCCCTGGCAACGGCGCCAAAAACTTGACACGCTAAAACACAGCACCTAACAATGGCCAAGTGTAACGAATGAAAGGGACTGCAGTATAGTGGCACAAGTAATAAATATCGAATCCACGGGCCTCTAGAGTTACTATTACTCAGCTTCAGTTCATTATCTAGCAAACTAGATTAAGGATTGATTTATAAACTACTCTACTAACTACTCTACTAATTACAAGTTGGGAACTCACTTAGGTATGATTCCCCCTAGCTCCTCAATTAGGTCCAAGTTGCAATTACTTTTGGTTGGTCTACTGTTGATTAAACTGCGGAAGATCCTAAATTAGCTTGGAATCTCTTAAGCTGACCAAGCCCTCTTAGACAGAATACCCGGCAGGCGACTAGCCTTCACCGGGATAGACTGCTAAGGCGATTCACACAGATCTCCACTACTGGAATGAATTCCAGTACAAAGCAGTGAATTGGTTGACTCTCGCACAACCAATTCACCACTATCAATCAAGGAAGCTCTCTTAACCTAATCAGATTCTATCTATCATAGGTTAAAGCAGAAATCAAGAGAATTTGATAAAGATTCAATTGACTCAATAAATCATGCCTCAATCGATTATAATCAAACAATATAGCATCCAAAACTTCATACAAGAAAGATCCTAACACATGAAACTAGGGTTCCTCAAAACCTAAGTGAAGGGAAGTTGCTCCATAGAGAAGAGAGAGACTGCAGAAATCTGATCTAGATCTTCAATCTCCATCTCCAAGCTTGATTCCCGAGCTCCAATGGCGAAGAAATCCTCCAAAATAGCTCTAAGAATGTTCCCAAGTCGCTCTCTCTCTCTAGGGTTCGTCCCTTGGGTGTTTGGGAACCAAAACCCAGCTCTCTCCTTTCCTTTTGCTGAAAATCGGGTTTTAACCAGAAATTCCCGATCATACAGCCAGGCCACACGGCCGTGTGACTTTCCCAGATGCCCGTGTGAGGTCTCGGTGATTTCCACACGGCCACATGGCTAGTTCACACGGCCGTGTGGGTCGTGCCCGTGTGGCTTGCTCAGCCTCTGTTTAATGCTTCATTTCTCCCTCGTCCGGACTCCGAATCAGTCCCCGTTTGATCCCAGACGCTCGTAGTCTAGTCCTCTTTCTTTTCATGACAAAATTCCATGATTATTTGTCCATAATATGAGGTATAAGTCCATTATTCCTCAGGTCATGCTCGTGTTTCTTCTCCCGAATTGCCGAATGATCTCCGATTGACTTCAAACTTGCGCCTATGCTTCAATTTACATGCTAGGACCTGAAATGTGAAAAAGGAACACAACCTAGCATAAAATATGCCAAATAAGCGATAATGCAAGCTTAAACGATCAAGAAACAAAGGGGAAAACATGTGTAAATATCGAGTCATCAATCACTGTGTTGCAATTTCTCGTTTACCGCCATTAGTGTTGAGATTGGTTTGCACGTTGCCATGTGAAATCTTTTCAGCATATCTTCAGTGTACTTCTCCTGTGAAATGAAAATTTCTCCAGGTGACTGCTTCACTTGGATCCCAAGAAAATACTTCATGAGTCCTAAGTCCGTCATTTCGAATTCTTTCATCATGGTACTTTTAAATTCTTCGATCATATGCTGACTTGTACCTGTGTAAATTAAGTAATCAACGTACAAACACACCATTAGAAAATTTTTGCCTTCTCCCTTTTTGATGTAGAGAGATGCTTCACTTGGACTTCTTTGAAATCCGTTATGCTAAAAATATCGATCGATTATGCTGATCCATGCTTTTGGTGCTTGCTTCAGCCCGTACAAAGCCTTTCGGAGACGATAGACTTTGTCTTCTTCTCCTTTCTTCTCATAGCCTCGTGGTTGTTCCACATAGACTTCTTCTTCCAGTTCTCCATTCAGAAATGTTGATTTGACATCCAGCTGGTATACTGGTAACTCCAGTTGTGCAGCTAGAGCAGGAACTGTTCTGATAGTCTCGAGGCTCTTGTTGCTTGCTCCAGGCTGTTGTGAATAACCCTCTGCCACCAGTTGAGCTTTGTACTTCTGGATAGAACCATTTTCATTGAATTTGACCTTATAGATCCATTTGAGACCTATAACCGGCTTGTCTTCCGGTTGATCAACAAGCTCCCATGTCTTGTTTTTCTCGATCATGGAAATTTCTGCATCCATTGCCTCGCTCCAAACTTCTTCTTTGTATGCTTCTTCAAAGACTTGAGGTTCACAAGAAAAATATGCAACATGACTTGTTTCATAAATTTCTTATAAAGACCTTGTTTTTAACGGAGGTGAATTTGAGTGTGTTACTACGTCTCCGAAGTTGTCTCCTTCTAGGCTAGGTGCAAAATTTCTTTTTGGACTTGCAACTGGATCTAGGTCATTGTTGGGTTCTTCTGGAGTTGTTGAGTCCTCCAGAATTTCATAACTTGGTGGAGATTGAGAAATTGGATTTTCCCAATTCCACTCCGCCATCTCATCAAAGATCACATCTCGGGAAACCACCAGCTCGTTCTTTACTGGGTTGTAAAGATGATAGCCTTTGGATTCATCACTATAGCTGGTGAAGATCAGCTTCTCTCCCTTCTGGTCTCTGTTTGGAGTAGAGATATGTGCATAAGCTATGCACCTAAAGACTTTGAGGTGATCCACCTGTGGCCTCCTGTGGTGCCACACATGTATTGGTGTCTTATTCCGAACTGCTTTGGTTGGTGATCTATTGAGGATGTAAATTGTTGTGTTGACTGCTTCTGCCCACAAGTTGTTGGGAGGATTTTTGGCTTTGAGCATAATTCTCGCCATCTCCACAATCGTGCGGTTTTTCCGTTCTGCCACGCCATTTGGTTGTGGTGTGTAACGGACCGTCAGCTGCCTTTTGATTCCACTGTTGCGACAATACTCCATGAAAGGAGTATAAATAAATTCTCCTCCACGATCTGTTCGGAGAATTTTGATTTGATGGTCGCTTTCATTCTCAGCTACTGCTTGGAATTGAAGGAACTTGGGAAAAGCTTCTGACTTTTGCTCCAGAAAGAATACCCACATCATTCTGGTGAAGTCATCTATAAAGGAACAAGGAGGGTATGATAGATAGGGCGATGAGCAAACGATTGAGAATGACGGTGGTAGTTCTGATAGAGGGGATCATGAAAGAAATTTCCAGAGTAGGTGAGATCAAAGGAGTAGGCCATGATGGGGAGACTCACAAACACTCAACAAGACACACACATGGAATACAGAGACACAGAGAGACACACAAATAAATAGACCCGCAGCAAGCAAAAACAAGGAAAGAACGATACTAAACAGGAATAAGAGCACCAAGAACGAAAAATCAAAAGAAGGAAACTAAAACGACAAGAAACAGAAAGAAAAATAAAAATAAAAAGGCAGGAAGGATACCATTAAGGTATCGAAAAATTTGAAATGGATTGAGAAGATCGCAATCCAATTTCATGGCAAAGAAAAGTAAATCGGTCAGTCCCCAAGGGTTTGGTAAACAGATCTGTAAGCTGATACTCAGTTCTAATATGTTGGAGAAGAATGCATCCTGTTTGAACCAACTCATGAAGAAAATGGTATTTTATATCTATGTGTTTAGTACGTGAGTGATGAACATGGTTTTTTATATGCAAATAGCACTAGTGTTGTCACAAAAAAGAAGAACAGCTGAAAAATGAAGGTCATAATCAGAAAGCTGATTTTTGAGCCAAAGAAGTTGAGTACATGTGCTGCCAGCAGCAATGTATTCTGCTTCTGCGGTTGATAGAGCAACAATAGCTTGTTTTTTACAAGACCAGGAGACAAGTGAAGTGCCAACAAACTGACAACTTCCTGATGTACTATGACGGTCAGTAAAAGTCCCAACAAAATTTGAATCGCTATACCCCACAAGATCAAAATTATCATGCTTAGGATACCACAGACTTACATCAGGAGTTCCTTTTATATATCTAAAAATGCGTTTAACAGCACTTAAATGGCTTTCCTTAGGGTTGCCTTGAAATCGAGCACACAAGCATACACTATGCTGTATATCTGGTTGACTGGTTGTAAGATACAAAAGAGAACCGATCATCGCACGGAATTTAGATTCATCGACTGAAGAACCAGCCTTATCTTTGTCTAATTTGGCAGTAGTTGCCATGATAGTGGGAGAAGGATTCGCGAGAGGAAGCCCAATTTGGTTAACATGATGGCGATATACTTAGATTAAGATATGAAGGTTCCATGCAATGTCTGTTTGATTTGGAGTACGAGAAAGTACTGTAACTCTCCCATCATGCTCATTTCAAACACTTGTTTCATGGAATTACAGAACTTAGCACACATGTTTGGATTAGTGGATCCAAAAACAATGTCATCTACATATATCTGAACTAGAAGATGATCATCAGACTCTCGCTTAGTAAATATTGTTTTATCAACCGATCCTTGATTAAAACCATGATCTCGAAGAAAGGCAGTTAAACGTTCATACCAGGCACGAGGTGCCTGTTTAAGACCGTATAATGCTTTGCGTAACTTAAAAACATGATCAGGAAACAGATGGTTGACAAACCCAGGTGGCTAAGAGACAAACTTCTTCATGAATTTCCCCATTCAAGAAGGCACTTTTGACGTCCATTTGAAATAAGGGAAAGTTCATATGACACGCACATAACAGTCGGATAAACTCCAGACGTGTTGTAGGAGCGAACGTTTCATCATAGTCTATACCTTTTTCTTGATTGTATCCTTGAGCAACTAAACGAGCTTTATTTCGAATAATAAGACCATATTCAATAGTATTATTTCTAAAAATCCATTTAGTGCCAATCACAGTTGAAGATACTCGAATTGAGTTAATTCTTCTTGCATAGCAAGTAACCATTTTTCATCTTTTAAGGCTTCTTTGTAATTCTCACATTTATGCTGGGAAACAAAAGCGTACTGGACAGGGGTGTACTTACCTCGAGTTCTTAGTTTGTCATTGAGATCTCCAATAACTTGATCCGTAGGATGACGCTTCTGTATGTGAGGTGGTGCAAAGGGCTTATTGGAAGAAGAGTCATCTTGAGTGTCTTCCTTAGATTCCAAAGGAGTTTCTGCAATGATAGAATTGGATTATGCAATGATAGAATTGTCACTTTTAATAGTATTGATCTGGCCATTATAGAGTATAACAAAGATTTTGAATTTGTTCAAAGCTTCATCCTTATGAGACAGAAAGTAAACCCACAAATACCTAGAGTAATCATCAACAAGTACAAAAACATAATTCTTTCCACCTAAACTTGTCACATTACAAGAACCAAATAAATCCATATGGATCAGGTTATGTACTGTTTGTGACTATATCTGGTTTAGGTTTGAAAGATTTTCTGATGTGTTTACCAGAAATGAACGTCTCACAAAAGAAATCAGCCTTTTTTTTTAAATGGGCATACCACGAATACAATTGGATTTTGACAAAGCCACTAGTTTAGGTAAACTTAAGTTACCCATCTTCCTGTGCCATAGCATCTCCAAATGGTTTGAAGCAACAAAGCAAGTTTCATTAAAAGCACTTAAATCACTGAGATCAATGACATACATATTATTTATTCTGTTTCCAACAAACATAATTTTCCCATCCCTAACTCTTTCAACAATGCAATAGTCTGCTTTAAAAGCAACTTGATTTCCATTACTGCATAATTGGCTTATAGACAAGAGATTATGTTTCAACCCTTCAACAAGTACGACATCTCGAAAAGAGGGTGAAGGAGATCCCCTATAGTACCGCATCCAACGATATTCCCATGACCATTATCTCCAAAAAATACTTTACCACCATTATTAGGTCTTAGAGAAGAGAAAAGAGATTTCTTACCATACATGTGATGAGAGCAACCACTATCTAAGTACCAATTTTTGTCATCTTGGTTGTTCAAGTCTGAGTGGAGAGCTGTCTCATCTTCTGAATTTATGACTTTAGTAGCCATATAAGCTCTTCATCTGATCTTGACTCTTCTGGCTCTGGGTCATAGTCACTCCATGAAGCCTTCATAACTTTCTCTTTAGCTCTTAATGTTTGTGGACATTGTGCCCTGATATGACCAAGCTTTCCGCATTTGTAGCATGCCTGGGGTTCCCTGTCTTGCTGACCTATCTCAGAAAATCTGGTCTGCTGTTGGGGCAGCCTTCTTGATAACTACTTTTGTATGATCATAATACACAGGTTTTGAATCATTAGAATAACGTTTCTGCTCATTTTTATATTTAAGCATACGATGAAATTTCTTGCTGACTAAATCAAACTCCTTTTCAAAATCACTTTCACTGTCAGAGTCATACTCAACAACTCTGGATTTAAAAGCTAAGTTATTCTTTCTTTTCTCATCCTCTTCCCCTATCAGTTCATTTGTAGGTAACGTAGACAGATTCTTAGCTTCTTTAATAGCAATACATTTTGGTAGCCATTCCTTGGGCAAAGATCTAAGAATTTTGCGGTTTAGATCCTTACTCTGAGATGACCTTCCTAATCCTTTCAATTTATTGACAAGAACAGTAAATCGAGAATACATTTCATGTATTCCCTCCCCTTCAAGCATGTTGAAAGACTCGTAATCATGCATCAATAAATCAATATGATATTCTTTAATGTTAGAGGTACCTTCATAAGTACTTTCCAAAGCTTCCCAGATTTCGTTTGTCGTTTCAAAATTCTCGACTTGGTCTGCTTCATCTGGATTCATTGCCGTCTGAAGTACATGCATCACCCTTTGGTTTAATTGTGCGCTTTTCTTCTGGGCTGCCAACCAAGTTTGTTGCTCATCCATGTTCATCTGAACGGGTCCGTTTTGGACAGTCAACCACAACTCTTCATCCACTCCCCACATAAATTGCTTCATCCTCTTTTTCCAGGTTGTATAGTTTGACCCTGTGAAAATAGGAGGATGGTTGAGAGTGGCTTGCCCGAACGAGCTTGACGCCATTGGATCGATTACCTTGGCAACAGTGAGCTTCGTCAAGGCAGAGCTCTGATACCAATTGAAATCGAGGCACGATTAGAAGCAAGAAATTTAAAGAGAATTAGGGATTTTGATTTGAGCAGGAGAAGGGACATAAGGGGATTGGCTCAGTAAAGAGAAGACTTTGATGTCTAGCTCTTCGCCAAAAGATCCCATTCCACAGATGGGCTCAAATCGAACAAATGGGCCTCAAACAAGATACAAATACTATTGGGCTGAAGACCACTTGAGCCCCAAAGATCAGAACAAATATTGTCTTGTTCTTCTCTGAAGAACACGAAAAGCAGAATAAAAAACGTAGCTGAACAGGGGAAGAAAGAGCAAGGAGAAGAGAGGAACACACGATATTTTTAACGAGGTTCACCCTTGTGCAATGACTAAGTCCTCGTCCCAGGATCACAGATCCCAAGAGATTCTATTTATATTTTGAATCAACACAATTACAAAAGACTCTGTAAAAGACGAAATGAATTGAAATTCCCCATATTACTACCCAATCCAGTTATGCCACCACAATATAGAACCTCTACCCCTATACTGTCCACCCTTCTGTAAATTAAAGCTCAGACCTATACCACTAGCTTTGGTTCCTACATAAGTATCGCAAAGAAGAGAACTCCTTAGAATACATATATATATATAGCTCTGAAACTAGCCGTTGGAGAGAGCCTCTTTGATTTGCTTGATTTAAGCACTTCCCCTTTTTGAGCAGCCTGCAACAGTCTGAGAATCGACAAATCAGACTTGTCATTTCAACAGTAGATAGGCATATCATACATGTTGCTACTGATTATTAATGTCATTGTTGCGTGTAATTGGAGTGATTCTTATATAAAAGTCTTGGTTTTGGGTTTATTATTCATTAAGTGGATTTTTGTAATTATCATGAACTTTAGTGGAAATTCTATTTGGTCTAGAAAAACTCCACTTCTCCAATTGTTGACTAATTTTTTACCATCTTGAAGAGATTTGGGAATTCATATACGGCCATCCATCATGCGTATTCTGATTATATGTATTGCATTTTTCGCTTTCGAATTTCTACCAAATGACATTTCTTGTGAGTTTTTTCGACTATTCAGTTAGAGGATGATTATATTGATCATGCATATTCCAATCACGATTCACATGTATTTTCAATTTTTAAATTCATAGATTAACAATCTTTTTTTATTTTTCCACCTATTCAATTCAAAGTTGAATAATCACACTTATTTTGATCACGCGGATTTTGACAATGTATTTTTGTTTTAGAATTTATAAATTTTTGAATTCTTATAGATTAACAATCTTTATGAGTTTTCTGACTATTCAACTCAAGTTGAACTAATCGCATGTATTAGATCACACACATTTCGAGAATGCATTTCGTTTTAAAATCTTATATATTGACAATCTTTGCGAGTTTCATATTCAAACATTTTCTTTTATAGAGTTCAATTTGGAATATGATAGCTCATTGTCTACCAAGTCCAATTTATCTTCATACTTTATATGTATAGTATATTGTTCTAATGAAAGATTGACTCCGTAGTTTCAACATGGTTTTATTTGTGAATGAAAACAAATTTTCTTATTTTGTTCTTCGGTTATATTGTTTCATTAATCGATTCACACAATTGAAAAATTATATTATGTAAAAATTGAAATATTACTTCTTACTTAGAAACAAAAATCTTAGTAAAACAAAAATTGAGCATATAATTGAAGAATAGAAGGGCATCATTGATATATTTGTTCGAATTTGGTTTTACGTCTTTAGTCATCTCTCTCGAGTTTTAGCTCAAAGAGAAAAATGACAGTGAAATCTTCTAATATGTGTATATCATTCATTATTCGTACTTTTTATTTGGATTTTGTTTTGCATTCTTACTCAACTCTTTCTCGCTCTTCAATAAAATGGTTAAAATGGCATCCAAAACAAGCGTAAACCTTGCAAACACTCTAAGTAACAGTTGTTGAGCTCCAAATATGTAGATCGATGTCCTCTAATTTATAAATTCATTGGCCAGCGAGTGCATATTACTACGAACCTCTCCGTCAAAATCTTAGTGATTTTTACTACAGTTTTTGGAGTTATGCCATACGAGATACATTTCACTAATTATTTCATAACAACACATTTACCGTTTTATCTTGAACTCGCCACGAAGCGCAAGCGAACATGCATATCTAGTTAATAATGAAAGATAACTTCTAAAAAATAATTAGAAAGATAGGAAAATGGAAATAAAATTTTCTGCATATAAGTATGCCATGCCTGTACCTCTAAGTTATTTATTATATAAACACACAAGTGCATAAAGCATCTGAATCATATATGCAAAAATAACTTATTTTGAACTCAAAACTAGTCATTAGCAAGTCCTCCCATTGTATAAAAGTAAGCAATAGACCTGACTCATCGACCATCTCAAACACAAGACCTTAATGGTTTGAAAATTTAATAGTGTGGTCAGTGTTTCTAACAATGATCCAAGGCTTTATTATTAGCAAAGGCGAAAAAGGTGTTTCATACTTGGATGAGGATCTCACAGAGGACTGAAATTTGTTACGATCCCTTTTAATGATTTCTTTACTATAGGATAGTTTCTTAGTGGTAATCTTTTGCTCTCTTCTATTGTACCTCAGCACAAGGAACATCAGAGAACAGAAAGCTAACATCTCATTCAAACAGTATCCCACTCCACTAGCATATCATGTCTCATCAACCCAATAAATGCAGAGGACAAACAAAGTTAGCTGGAACCTCTTTACTCAAAGACAATGTAATAGAGACTATTCAAGTAGCAACAGAAAGTAAACAAATAAAGTGAACACAATTAGCAAGCAAAATCCAGTACCCATAACCATTAGGGAAGGCTTCACAACTCCATCAAACTATTAGCTAATAAATCTCCCACAACCTCTCATCTTCTCAAACGCAAGATTGTTTTAAAAACTGAAACAATGAAGGTTTGTTTTAAAGTCTCTCACAAATCCCTGAAGGTTTGTTTTAAAATCTCTCACAAATCCCTCATTACAATCCTGCATCTAAACACCCTAATTCTTTTTTGACCCAATATGAAGCCAAACAAACAACAATATAAATTCCCAACTTTTACTCAACCTTTTACTTACTCAATTTCACCAATATGATACAGAATAAACTCTGCTTATGGTAATTTCAATCACCACCAAAATCCAACAATCAAATGCAAGTAGATTTGACGTAGTTAGGCTGAGTCCAATGGGAACCCTATAATTGGGAAAGTCGCCATTAATGGTGTAGGGTTGGCTCCAACGCGGAGCTTTAAATGGCGAAGAGCGCCATTAATAGGGAGAATCGACATCTGTGTCGTCAATTTTGGGGAAGCAAAATGGCGATTCCTGGGAAGAAACAGCCCCGGGCTGGTAGTGAATTAGATAGCGTCACAAGCCCCTGTTTCGCTTCCCCCTTTACAGCCGTCCTTCCCCCTTCCTAATGATCTTATGGTCTATACTCATCAGGGGGGGAAAAAGTTGCCGCACTGGATAATTTCAACCACCCTGCCTATTATGGGCGCGACATCCGATTTAGGGGGAAAGATTATCGGCGACTAAATAGCCACCTTCTCGCAATAAACCGTTCTCTTTCCCCCAAACCATTTCCCCTCCATCTGCTCCCAAACCCCCAAACGAAACCTGTGCACCATCACTGATCAACGTCATCTCCGCCTTTTCTTTCCATCCAACATCTCGCTAGTTTCTCCACTTGGTTCGAAGACCACGTCGTCTAGAGTAGAGGTGCATCCGCTCTATTTCCTCCACACCCTTCTTAAATTCAAATGATTGAATTTTCTTTCAGAATCATGCTTTGTCATCTCTCCCTTACTTTGCCCAAGACATGGATTCCCGACGTCCTTTCCCCCTCGTCGTTCATCGTTTCTCAGCGGCAAACCCTGCTTTCATCCAAGGTCTAACAACTTAGTTTATTTTTTGTTCTTTTAGTGCATCAACAGAGTTCCTTCCGCGGTCGACCCTTCCTGCGGCAGTGCAAAACTTCGCAGGTTAGGATTCTTTATCACGCAAGTTTTTGTCTTCAGAATCCAACCTTGGAATCCAATATTGTTACTTTCAATTGGCTTCGTGGTACCACTGCAGAAGCAATGGTACTGGTACCAGGTTCAGTGGTACATGTCAGAGTACCACTACTGGTACATGTATCACAGACATTTCCGACACTACCACTGTTGAGTGTTTGGTAGTGGTAGTATTGTAAGTTGTATTCAATATGTCTAACAATGTAGCTCTTATTTTGGCACCAGGAAGGGAAACTTGTTGGTGAATGAAAGAAACAATGGAGCATAAGAAGTTATCTAATGAACAAGTCTGCAGAGCTGGTTAAAAGTATAATTGGTGACCCAAGTAATCTAAAGCTTGAGGAGGTAGAGAAAGCTATTGATATAAAGGAACCACTACTCCGTGGATATACTCAGATGACCCAGCAGTAGTTCTTTTCCAACTGTTGAGGAGTATTCTATTGGTTTATGTACGTTATGGAGTACGAACAAAGCTTGAACATTTGTTGACTTTTAATTATAATTTTTTTTAATTCGAATCAATTTTGTTGGAGAAAACCACTAATGTTGGTTGGAAATTATTATGATTTTGTGTTCCATTGGTAATTTTGCCGTTATATCAAGCACTAGTTCATTCTCTAATTACACTTAGACTATTTTTGGTACATGTACCAATAACTAGTATTCGTAAGTACTAGTACTTCCTTAAGGGTAAATTGCAAGTTTGGTCACTAGAATTACTATAGAATTACACGTTTGCCACTAAAATAAATTTATTCCATTTATGGTCACTAAGATTAGTTTAACAGTTCAAGTTTGGTCACTCTTCGTTAGTCTCTGTTAACTTTTGCTTATTTGACATTCAACCTTTATAGTTGACCGTTAAATGAGTGATGTGTCGAATAAAAATAATAAAAAATAAAATTTAGTAAGTTCCACCTCATTATTACAATAAATTAAAAAAAATAAAACAAAAAATGGTTGGCCCTACTCTCTACGCCCGAAAGAACTCCGACCAAGGTCCGTCCTATAGATGTCTCTGAAGATCCGCGGAAGCTGACTAATCCTAAACCGACAATTCCCCGGAAACCAGGGAACTGAAAACATAACTTCTTCTAATTTAACCTCCACTGCAAACCTTACTATCTTTAATAGAGATCCTGTCATCCAGATCCCACTGCCTGGGAACTTGCACGCGGTGGTCAGGGTTATGATCGGGAAGGAGCGGAATATTGACCTCACATGGCGGAGTAGCTTCCTGGAAGCGACATGCTGTTTTTCTTTCCGCTGGCTGATGCAGGGGAACGACGACGGCGGCGGGAGGAGCTAGGGCAAGGGACTGGGTTTTCGGCATCAGAGTGTCGCTGGCCCCGATCCGGTGTTAAGGAGATGATGAGATTGTGCGGTGGGGATTTGGATAGACTCGTTAGAGGGGGGAGGTTCGGATTTGGGCGCCGATCATGACTTTTCAATCGTTGAACCAGGCAAGATCAAATCAAAATGAAACTCCCATCTAGATACCTGATCGTGTAGTTCCTTGAACACCAAGTTGTGCTCCTTTGATCGAATGGAGTAAAATACTTGTGTGAACAAGGAATTACCCAAGCAGCTGAGGAGGATGTGGCATAAAAAATTATAAAGCTGGATCTGCATCACAATACCAAACAAGGCGCATGAATGAGTTTGATAAGGATTAGGATTCATCTATACCCTTCTGTACATATGTTACGTGTATTTCTCCGGTGACAACCTTCGCGTAACGTGGGTCGTCGATATTGAAAGATATTCGTAAGAAAGAGAGTTAGAATGAAGAGAATATTCAGAGGAACGAAGATAACTACAACTACTATTGGATTCCAATCTTTAACATGACATTAACCGAAAGACCAAGTACATATTTATAGGCATAAAAGCCTCTACCTTATCCTATCTAGAACATGACTCCTACTCCTATAAGGAAATTACTAACAATAACCAAATCCTACTTAAACAAGGAAAACACAATTAAAGACAATTAATAGTAAAATACTAAATAATAAAATAATCAAGCCCAGATCGAGGCCCAATAGTTAGGATGGCTTGATTCTCATAACATTCCTCCCCCCTTCGCAGTAACCTTGTCCTCAAGGTTGATCATCTTCATGGATGAATTGACCTTCCTCCTAGTCGGTACACGCGCCTATCATTAGTAGAACGTTCTTGTTGGCAAAAAGATGGCCAATCGTAAAACGTTCATCGCAATGGAAGCAAATTCCTTGCGCCCGGCGACGTGCTACCTCCTCTGGAAATATCCTCCTAGCATATTGGTTGCGCGGCGGTGTGATCTGCAGTGGAGGTGGTGATGGCTCGGCCGTGGCCTCCATGGTTGCTCGCGGTGGATTCCTTTCACTCCTTGATGCTTTGTCAGCTCTTCATTTTTCACCTTGGCAAGTCGTATTTCCTCTCGCATAGTCTCTAGATTGATGATGCGAATTGCATCAAAAATTTCAGATTTGAGACCACCAATAAATGAACCCACTAGCGCCTCTTTGGTCCACCCAAAGCACAGGTTACCCAATTTCTCGAAAGTCAACAAGTAGTCACTCAAGGAACCAGTTTGCTTGACTTTGGCAAGCGCCTCGTAGCAAGAGACGTTATCGAACGACCCAAATCTTTCCCATAGCTCTTCTCGAAACCGAAGCCATGTCATTGTCAAACCCGATGTCGTATAAGCGCGATCCAACCACTGCCACCACTAGTTGGCATCTCTCTCCATGTGATAAGATGCCAAGAGCAACTTATGTTCTTCCGGAGTTTCCATGTGATAAGCGCGATCCAACCACTGCCACCACTAGCCCAGAAGTTCCGCTCGCCCGTGACCGGCCCAGGTCGCCGCCTCCATCCCAGCCTGGTCGGACTCCGCCCCGCGCCCGCCGCTGCTTCTGGCCTGTCTCACAGATTCCCTCATCGACGAGACCCCTCCCAAAACTGACTGGGTTTGCGTCGTCGCCGATGAAGCCCGGAGGAAATGAGACTTGCAGCGCCGCCATTGGTCGCGAGAAGTCCCCACTCCGGCCCGATCACGACGATCGATGCCTCCACGTCCACCCTGTCGTCGTTGCGACTGCCGCGGTTCGCCGTGCGTCCCGAACCGCCCATCGTGTGCGGTTTCGGGACGAGCTTACCCGCCGCGACCTCCTCGTCCGCCATCACCCCTTTGAGCTTCTCCCCCTCCGATACGTCCACGATCGAATGCTGCATTGGAGACTAGCTCGCCGCTGTCTTCCCCTCGCAGGAGATCGTGATGAGTTGCCTCATCATCTCCAACAAGGTTGCATGTTGCTACGCCATTGCATCTTGGAACTGTTACGCCATATCCGCCTGGCTTTGCATGATATCCGTCTGAACTTGCTGCACGAAGGATGTCTGGAGTAGCGACATGGTGGCCTTAACCTTCAAGACTCCCTCTTCGACGCCATGTTGTACTTGGCCGGTCGCGTCAATCCGCGCGGTGGCGTCCTGCTGCGCATGGAGGAGACCCTGAAGGAGCTCCTCGTCGATCGCGCGGCTGGTCGGAGGTCGTCATTGCTTGTGTACCCTTCTTTAGCACCATTTTATCGGATCACGTTAGTCACAGAGCAACCAGACTTTGATACCAATTGTTACGTGTATTTTTCTGGTGAGAACCTTCGCGTAACGTGCATCGTTGATGTTGAAAGACATTCGTGAGAAAGAGAGTTAGAACGAAGAGAATATTCAGAGGAACGAATATAACTACAACTACTATTGTATTACAATCTTCAACATTACATTAAGCGAAAGACCAAGCACATATTTATAGTCATAGAAGTTTCTACCTTATCCTATCTAAAACATGACTACTACTCCTATAAGGAAATTACTAACAATAACCAAATCCTACTTAAACAAGGAAAACACAATTAAAGACAATTACTAGTAAAATACTAAATATTAAAATAACCAAGCCCAGATCGAGGCCCAATAGTTACGATGGCTTGATTCTCGTAACAACAGATATAGTGCAATTCGTATTGATAGCTCGTGTCTTACCCATACTTAATTTTACTAAATATCATCCAGAGAGCAAAATGGCAGGGAATACTTATTCTTCTCCCTCCGACGAGCACATAGTGATGCTTCCGTTAATGAAGCAAGGCCACCTGATTCCAATCCTCACCCGACAAATCATTTGCCGCCGTCACGCTCGCCACCACCCCTGTCAACCTTGACTCTCTCCAGCACAACCTCTCCTCCGCGGCAAGACCCGCGCCCGCAGTGCCTGATTTCCGAAATTTCACTTTCACGACGTGTGGTGTGTACGACAACTTGGGTTACATTTCGGTGTTAGTGAAACTTCCCCTCGTCGATGAATCAGCTTCCCCCGATCTTCAGAGACGATGATGGGGCGGACCTTGGTCGAAGTTCTTTCGACCGCAAATAGCCGAGGCGACCTTTTTTGGTTATACTTATATTTAAATTTATTGTAATAATAAGGTGGAAATTATTAAAAAAATAATTTTTTGCCACGTCACTCATTTAACGGTCACATGAATTAAATAAATTAATTTTAGTGGCAAACGTGAAATTGTATAGTAATTCTAGTGACCAAACTTGCAATTTACCCAGTTGCTTAACGAATAACTAGTAGCGGGACATGTATCACTAAATACGAGTGGTACATGTACAACTAATAGTACTGGTAGATGTACCAAGTAACTAGCAATGGCACACGTACATGTAGGTACTATCAGTGGTACTCGTACAAGCACATTTGCATGAGAATACTTTGAAATGGTTAGCTAGTGTTTAGCAACAAAAGTATGCATCTCCAAAAACTCATCAGAATAACATAATATATTCCACAAGCGACAAATTTAATTGTATCATGCCCCAAGTTTTCAATAAAACATCTAACTGGACAAACAACCAACAATATTAAGGTTGAGCTTTTTTTCCTCTTGTTTTTCCAGCTCCTTATTGATTTGTTTTCTTGCCATCTCACTTGCTACTCTGGAGCCATCTTCTTGTATCTTTTCTTGTCCTGCCGCTGCTTCACTTTTTTGTACAATTTTTCAGATCCCTCTTTGTGAACGCTAGATTCTCCTCCCCCCTGGCCGCTGCAGCAAATGAATCATGAGAGTCAACAAGATCTTCGTGATTTTTCTGGGTCCATCCTGCTTGAATATGAATGGTTTTGGAAAGTAAGACCTTTTTTTCTTCACCGCTCCAACAACTCTTGGCGAGAAGCCTCTTCCGTGAGCAAAACACTTATAAAAGCATGTAAAATCATCTTGATTCTGGAAATGCAAGTGCTCCCATGTTGATCTGTCTACTGGGAAGACAATTGATACCACACCTGTACTTTTAAAAAATATTAAAGGCCACATGATAAATGTGCATGTACCACTAGGAATATATTACCACTAAGAGTCTACCACTAGATTACTGCCACTAACCCACTACCAGTACATGGCTACCTCTAGTACACTACTACTACTAACGAACTACCACTAGAATACTACAACTGTGCCAATACCACTACATGCCTAACACTGGTTCTCTGCGTTGCTGTTTTCCGTCTTTTTGTAGTTCTCTAGGATCTCTTTGTTGATCAGATCCTCCATGTCGGAAACTCCAGCATCATCCACCATCAAAATACCACCACCATTCTACGCCTCTTCATCTACCACGTCGGCATTGCTTGCGTATGGGACGTTCAAGTCGAAACCATAAAAACCCGGATATTCATATCCCACCATATCTAAGTCATCGTCGTCTCTAGTTCAATCGTCCATTGTATACCGGTGGCAGCGACGAGTTATATTCGGCGAAGTGATGCGGCCGGTTATGGAAGGGAAAGAATCAAGAAATGGAAGGGGAAGAGAATCGTCGGTTATGGTTAGCTAAAATTCATCCCAGAAATCACGCAAAGCAATATTCTCCACATGCATTTATTGTTTATTTTTAATTTAATTACATTAAACAAGTTACACAAAGGCCCTTGCTATATTCTCCACTATCGGATGCAGAAGGGGATGGACGGAGGGGAAGGGGGAAGCGAAAATCACAGCCTCGATAGGGGAAGTGACGCTATCCCATCCCGGCTAGTGGTTGTCCCGCCCACAAACTCTATTTTTAGTGTTTAATTTGTATTTAATTACGGGTTCTCTGAAGTAATTATAGGAAATTAATGCGACTCGAATTAATTTTTTTAGCGTTCTTTAATTTGTATTTAATAAGTTTTTAATATTTTTTAATTTCTTTTATTATATAAAATGACTTAAATTAAATTCATTCTATTTAAAATTTATGTTTATCATCTTGAAGCTGTGTAAACAAAAACTACACCGATGTAAGAATGAAAAATATATTATTGAAATGAAAATATGTTCTTCAATTACAAAACAAATTGTCACCAAGTACAACTTTAAATGAATTACAAAGCATACCAACATTGATACCAAGCAACTAATTATTTACATGCAAGTTCCAAATATGCTCGACCAAGTCCTGACGAAACCCACCTATTATTCCTAGCCAAGTACTCGGTTAGGGTTGGAATATCTTTGTCGACATTAGTTGGTTGTTGGTCGTGGACCTAATAATCAAGAATATATTCCATCTCATCGTCAGAATCAACTTGCTCATCCTCGATTATCATGTTGTACAATATAATGCATGTCAGGATTATATCATTAATTGTGGCAACATCCCAAGACCTAGCAGGGCCACGAATGATTGCCCATCTAGCTTGAAGAATTCCAAAGGCCGGCTCTATGTCTTTTCGATGTGCTTCTTGACATCGATTGAACAAGGCTTCTTTGTTTGAGCTTGGATTGTTGAATGTTTTCATTAAAGTTGACCACGAAGGATAAATACAATAAGCCAATAATAACATTAATCATAGGTATGAACGTTTACCTCAAATCGTATTCGTGGAACGAATCCGTTGAGGATACGATAAAACACCGGAGACATCCCCAGAACATTGATGTCATTGTTCGACCCAGACAGGCCAAAGAAAGCATGCCATATCCAGGTGTTGTAAGAAGCCATTGTCTCGAGAATGATTGTTGGTTTATAGTTGTGCCCCAGGTACTGCCCAGTCCAAGAAGTAGGACAGTTCCTCCACTCCCACTGCACGCAAACTATTAATCCAATCATATCAGGGAATATACGTTGTGAGGCTTTACGAAGTTGGATCCTTAAATCAGCAAGATTTGGTGCACGAAGGTATGTCGACAAGTAAATCCCCACAAGTTTCAGAAAAGTATTGAATTGATGACAAATGAGAGATTTGTATTTATAGACGAACATATCCAAACGTATCTTACCTAACAGTCCTACCTAATCATCCTACCTAATAGTCTTACCTACCAGTCATACCTAACATGTGCTACCTTGTCTTACCTAACAGTCCCACCTAGGTCATATCCAAACGGTTATATCTAACGGTCAAACCCAATGGTCATATCTAACGGTTATATCCGAATGGTAACATCTAACGGTCATATCCGAACGGTCATACCTAACGATCATAAAATTTTCTATATATTCAGACATCTTCTCCTCTCTCTCTCTAGAATTTAGTCTTACTGAAGTGCAATTTGTTGTCAATCTCACCATCATTTCTATCATCTTTCTCCCTCTAAAAACTAAACAATGACAAGCAAGAGAGGAGAGGGTTGGAAAGCGGAGGAAGATAAGAACTTGTGCAATTCTTGGGTCACGATATCAGAAGATGAAGTTGTGGGCGTCAATCAAAGACAGACAAAGGTTTGGGATAGAGTAGCGGCGCAATATTTCGAGTGAATGATCCAAACACAACTCGTACTATCAAAAAAGTGGGTAATCGAATGAGCACCATCACCAAATTGTCCAAGTGTTGGAATTCAGCTATCCAAAGGGTAGAGAGGAATCAACCAAGTGGCACGAATCAACAAAATATGGTATGCATTTTCTGTCACCATCACTGTTATTTTGGAAAAACATTGATCTTCTTGAAAGTGACTTGTCGAAGTTGACACCAAGAAAGAGGAAGTATTGGAGAAATAAGCAAAACATGCTTCTGGGGTATGATCAAGATGATCTCAACTATGTTCCCAACTATTCAACCAACGCAAGTCAGACCGGAGGAGGAGATTACGGGAATTACTATTCTCTTCTAGGCAATTATTGACATGTTATAAGTTTCATCTTTTATCATTTCAAGTGTTGTGTGTAATCTTTAAGTTTTATCATTATCAAGTGTTATGTGTAACCTCTTAGTTTGATCATTTGAACTATTGTGTGGAACTCCTTCAGCTTTATCATTTTCAAGTATTGTGTGTAAACGCAAACTATGTCAATCATTTTTGTCAAAAAAAAAATCAGTCTCGGAATTTAAAAAATTCTATCAAAAAAATTGTATTTAAAAATGATGACAAACTAAAAAAAATAACATGAACAATTTATATTAAAATGATTGTAAATACATTTTTCAAGTAAGGAAAAACTAGAAAAAAGGTACATCCTCAAATTTGGAGACAGTAGCATTAAAGAAAAATGATAAAAATTGTGATAATCCCCAAAATTTGGAGATGAAGGTCCCCAAATTTAGGGACTAGCATTGAAGTTGGCCTTAGGTAGTTACAAAAATCTATTAATTATAATTCTCTCTCTTTCTCTCACTTCTGTAATCTCCAGCGAGATCTCCTTTCCTTATTTTTCTCAATCTTTCTGTAAAAAAAAAAAAACGAAATCACTACCAATCCATTTGACAACCAC